GAAGTTGACACCGGTGGTGGGACTAGTGTTAAAAACTTATATGCCTAACACTCAACTAGAAATAACTTGTATACTGGGGACAGAGAGAAAGCACAGTGGTTAAAGCACTTGCAGTTATTTCTAGTTGTGTGTACACAACCAACCTGGATTTGATCCCCAGCGTCCCACAGGGTCCCCCAAGCACTACCCGGAGTGGTTCCAGAGTGCAGTCAGATTAAACTCTCGAATATTGCCAGATGTGGCCTCAAAACAAGAATAACAACAGCAGCAACAACAAAAAGGTGGTATCTACCAGAACTAACGTTAGCAGGATACAGGGAGAATTTAAAAGGTGGCATTTGGGTCCTTGAAGAGATTCTCACAGTTTCTGCCTCTCTAGGTCACACACGGCAATGCTCAGGGGTTCCTCCTGGCTCTGCACTCAGGAATTACTCCTGGCGGTGCTTGGGGGACCATATGGGATGCCGGGACTCAAACCCGGGCCGGCCGCGTGCCAGGCCAACGCCCTCCCCACTGGTCTATTGCTCCGGCCTCCTCTGGCCTTTTTCTTTTCTTTTCTTTTCTTTTTTCTTTTCTTTTCTTTTCTTTCTCTTCTCTTTCTTTCTTTCTTTCTCTCTCTCTCTTTCTTTCTTTCTTTCTTTCTTTCTTTTTCTCTTCCTTCCTTCCTTCCTTCCTTCCTTCCTTCCTTCCTTCCTTCCTTTCCTTCCCTTCCCTTCCCTTTCTCTCTTTCTCTTTCTCTCTTTCTTTCTGGAGAAGCGTTCACTGCTGTACAATCTCTCTGGTTCTAGGAGGTGCTTTCAACTGGCTGCTTTTGTGCAACAATGAATGGTCTCCACTATCTCCGGTCTGGTGGATCTGCTGAAACCAGCCCCATCATTTCTCAGAGAAATTTTGGGGGCTTGTCTCTCTGATATGAACCTCAAGCATTTGGGGTGCGTGGTGTGTAATACAAATTTGTTGCTCCCCAGGGAGATGACCTCCTTGGGATAGATCATAAATGCAGACCAACATGCCCAGGGAAGATTCCAGGGGCACTTTGTCTCCCTTGACACAGTCGGTGCTTTCCCCCGTCTCATAGGGAGTTCTCTGGGTTTTTTTTTCCCATTTAGTCTTGGGAACTCTTATTTTGTTGAGGATTAGGTCTGTGGAAGGAGATCAGGATTTTCCTGTGCTACCTTTAACCACCTTCTTAACTATGGTACACTCTTTGGATTTGCTCTACTTCCAGCAGAAATCTGACACAAAAGGCCTCCTGAGTTCCTCTGTATGGAATGTATCTGTTACCTCATTAGTCTCAAGATCTCTGACTTTATTTGACCATGTTATGGTTTGATGCGAATTCTTTCATGTTTTCATTCTTTTAGTGTTTGTGACGAAGTTTCTGGATCTACAGTTCCTAGTCTGCACAAAATTGAAACATTTGGGCTATTATTTCATCAATTGTTTTCTATTCTCTTCCTCAGACTCCAGCTACACTCGTATTGGGCTGGAGAGAGCTGTGATGTCTTTGTGGAGGGGCTATCCTGGGACAACCTGGTCAATGGCTGAGTGCTCAGGCTGGTGAGGTAGTGCTGCTGTGGTCAAACCATGCTGTGAGCTACCAGTACCTCCCCATGGTGCTTGGAAGCATGCAGGGTTACAGCAATGATGCTGGGGCTGGGGGTGGGGGGTGGGGGAGGTGGAGGTACAGGATGTGGTACCTAGCACTAGGGGCCTACGCATGCTTCAAGCTGCTTTTTACATGTTGTCCCAGTGTTTATTTCATTTTGGATAGTTTCTATTGCCCTGGGGGTTTTCGGCAGGGGGTAGGGGTGGAGGGTGGGGACCACACCTGGCTGTGCTCTGGTCAGGATGGAACCAGGATCAGCAGCATGCAAGGCAAGAGCCTTATCCCCTGTACTACCTCTCAGGCCCTGCTATGTCCTCATAATCATTCTTTTCTTTAATGTTTAATCTACTTGGAATCCTATCCACATTTTGCAACTTGGCATTTTATTTTTCTAGAAATGTGGTGTTTTTCCTTCATGTTTTCCATATTTCCAGTTTAAAAGATCAAGTCATGAACTCCTTGGACACTTAAAATAGTGATTTCAATATTCCTAACAATTTTACCCCCATGATAGGGTCATCTGGTATTTCTCCTCTAGGGTTCATACTGTTCAATTTTTTTTGTACCTGGTAATATTTTTTATATGTTAAAAATGTTTTATATGTTAGAAATATGTTTTATGTTAAAACTATGACCATGCCTGATCATACTATTATGTTTTTATATGTTTATTGGGTGATGAGTGTACTTGTGTTCCTATAAACATTCAAGCAATTTGCTGGACATTTCAGTTTGGAAAGAGGCTGATGCTTTTGGAACTTGGCTACTTGAGACCTGGACAGTGTTTTAGTGTACGATTAATCTGCTTCTTTGGAATACTTTTCCGAGTGCACCATGAACTGAGCGTCTATGGTAGGCGAGGACATGGACTTTGTGTGTGCAGTACTTCACGGTGAGGCTTTCCTTGGTTCTGTCATTCAGGTACCCTGATCCATGTAAGCTGGCATTTAAAACCTGCAGAGGCTTCTCTTCTCTGAAATGGTAGCCACTGTGTATTCCCTAGAATACTATGTATTCCTATTCGCCACCCACCTATGACCTGGAAACTTCTCCAGGCCACTAGTTAGGTCAGTGGCAATGCTCCTCTCAGGATCACTGTCTTTCATTACAATGGCCAATTATTTTCTAAAGTCTCTTACAAGTTTACTTGATAAAGCTCTCCCAGTAGTGCAATGCTTGAGCGGAAGGGACCAGGCAACAGTTTACAATGCTGAAGTACCTTGTATCTAACTCAAGACCTTAGACATGCTGGGCTATCACTTAAGGTGGTTTGCATTATGGTTTGATTGCGGGCGGTAGGTGGTGGGGGGGTACATACCCAGCAGTGCTCAGGACAGCATAAGTGGTGCTGGGGGCCTAAACCAGGGTTGTCTACATGCAGGGCAAGTGCCTTACCTACTGTATGGTCTCTCCCTCCTTTTAAAAGCTCTCGCTAAGAACATTTGGGCTTAAACTCTGCTACCCTGGGTAGCTTGGGCCAGTTTGCTTTTAACACACTGATGCTAGTATGAATCTTCACTGGCTCACACTTGAATACAGTTGAATTAATACATATTGCAGTGCCAGGTGTCAACAATAGGGATAAATAGTCTTTTGCAAACTATTTTATCAGGCTCTTATTATTGTGCCTACTCTGACTTCTCTTATTTTGGAGCAAGATAAGAACCAAGAGACAGTATGGAGTTTGGGGAAAGAAATAGGATCCAAACGATTTGTTTGGTTTGTTTGGGGAATTCAGAGCTACATAAAGAGCAAAGAAGAAATAAATGTAAGAAAAACTCTTAATTGAGCGCATGGATAGCTATTTAGAGTAGAAACAGTGACAGTATATTTGAAATTATGCTTGGAAGCAATGTTATATAGAAGGGAGGAATTAAAATATAATATGCACTACCTATAATGGCATGTTATTTGAAAGTAACAGAAATTAGCTTTAAGTGGCTACTTTATATAGTCTGCAAAAGAATCCCTTCATAGAAGTATAATTTATAGGGACTAGAATGATACTACAGCAGGTAGGGTGTTTGCCTTGCACATGGCAGACTCAGTTTTGATCCCTGGCAGTCCATATGGTCTCCCAAAGCCCACTCTCAAAATAAATTATTTTTTAAAAAAAAGTATAATTTATATAATAATCATAAAGTGCTCAATTAAAATAGGGAAGGCTATTTTAATTGAGAAGTCTGGAGAGAGAGTTCAGTAGGCTGAGTACAAGCAGGAGGCCCAGGTCCAATACCAGCACTACATGGACCCCTACCACCACTGCAAGTAGCTTCTGAGCATTACCAGAACTGTCCCCAAAACCAAAGTCAAAGAAAAACAAGGTAGAAGGAGAACTTAAACAAGTGTTAGGAGAATGAGCATGAGGGGTTGATGCAGCAGATTTGAATACAGCTAGGCCAAGAACCACTTTAAATGAAAATGGTCTAAGTGTATCAGTGAGATACAGAAGTCAGCAAAGATTAAAAAATATGATACCTACTTTCAATATAATAAATTAAAAGGAAATGGAGTAAGATAAGCCAAGTAAACACAAATCAAAAGCAAGCTAAAAGTTATGAAGTTTGTTTTGTTTAAAAGTAATGGAAGTACAGTGGTTAAGGATAAAGGACATAACATGATCAATCAATTCATTTTTCAAGAACATAACCTTTCAAACAAGACTGGAAAGTGCAAAGTGAAAATAGAAGGGCAAGGAAAAATGGAATAACTGGCTACTCTAGTTGAGGACTCTGACACCCCTTTATCAGTAGCTGACAGAATATCAGCAAGGGTATAGTTAACAGCATCACCAATCACCTGGATACTTCATCTAACAGGATTTTGCTGTTGTTTTGGGGCTACACCTAGTGGTACTTGGGGCACTATGAAGTGTTGAAGATCAATCCCAGGACTCTCATGTGCAAGGAAAGTGCCCTTCCCCCTATACCATCTCTCCAGCCCGCTGAATACATGTATTTTTAAGCTCACATGATTAAGCACCAAGATAAGCCAAATTTAAAAGTATAGAGAACACACAATGTATACCCTGACCAAAAATGAACTTAATACACCAATGCATGTCTCAATTTCATAATTCTGTCACCTATACCTATGGTTTCCATATCTGTCCAATTTTTGTGCCTCTATATTCACGTGTTCCTTCATCCCTCCCCACTGTCAGCAGCAATAAAAATAAATGCACCGTTTGAGTTTCTGTGAAGTTAGTTCTTACCAACAGTTCTAACATCCTTCTGGCTCACCGGTGTATTATTCCATTACCTAAAATGGCCCAATACAGAAGGTACTTACTATTATTAGGCAGTTCATTCATTGACAAATAGCTTCAAACACCTCTAAAAGATGTTCTCAACTGTTGAAACATACCAAAGAATGCCACGACAGACTAAACTAAGGTAAAACTCTAACAAATAACATTTATTTTTCTTTTACATATGTATTTCATAGCTCAAACATCACATCGCCTTCGGAGAAAGGTGCTTTTAGGCCGTTATAATTTACTATTTACTGCACAGGCATCAAACATTCTCATTAACATGATGAGACAATTTGCTGGTAAACACTTATAAACACAGACATTGGTTTCAATAATAGCTCAAGAACATATTTTTTGGTCATGACCAAGGAAATACATCAAAATATGACAACAGTGGCTAATATCTTACAAGCAAATAATATTTAGCTGCAGAGTTTATACAATAGGCTGTGGTCATAAATAGTATCACCAATCTCATCAACTATGAACAGGCCACAAAAAAGCCTATCTTAAATATGACATGAAATACTCTACTGGCGTAGTTTCAACATAGCTTTAGAATGTTGCAAGTGTGGAACCCTGATGTGCGAAAAGAAAAATGTATTCAGTCAGTACGTGTTGGTTAACTGCAAATGTCAATGTCATTTTCACATATTCCATTCCTAATATGAAGGCAAATATCTAGGAGGGGGGGCAAAAAAAAAACCCCGAGCAGTCCAAAAGAAAAGAAAAAAGTAAATGTGCAAATTGAGGAGGACATTGCACTCTTTTGCAGTACTAGCTCTGTGGAAACACTAACAGGAAAAATATTCAGCAGGAAAGGATGGAAATGACCTCACAGCAGAGAACTAGTCACCGCACGCTGCTCAGTGCTTAGCGATTCTGGGTCTACGATTCTAACACGGTAGGACTACCCTTCGCTCAACAGAAGAGACTGCAGGCATGCTTCAGTCAGCAGGAAGACTAGGGAGGAACACGACAATATTTTCTTCCCTGTACAAAGACCTTCCTTGTTGTAACTGATGAATACGCAAACTTTTAGCCGCAAACGGTTTCTGAATCAGGTTTGCTAGATGCTTTAAGAATAGCTATCCTTCTCAGAATAGGAGGCTTGATTTTTTAAATATTTTTTTCTTATGTCAGCATGATAACAAGGTACATGCAGCCATTCTACCCACCTGTACAGGCAACAGTCCGCTTGGATTGGATTTGACAGAGATTCCCTGTACTGTTTTAAATGTTTCAGCCACTTGGAAAGAAGGAATGCCTAACTTCAGTATTTTTTTTTTTCAATTGAGTTGTTTATAAAAATAAAACCTCTATTCTTGAGTCTATAGAATGTCAAGAATTCTAGTTGGGAAGTTAAAAGCATTGGGTAGAACCCTGGTTTTCAGCGTCCCGTCTGCCCCACAGGAGAAGATCCGGTTGCCCTGGGTGATGTCAATCTGCGTAACTCCAGCCCCAATGTTCCGGAAGATGGACTGCTTAGCGTGTTCACTTTTAAATGAATGAATCAGGCCATGGCCTGTCAGTCTCCAAACCTGGTTCAAAAATGAAAACAATGGGTATGTCATAAAATCATTTCTACTGCCTTGACCCAAGTTTCTCCCTACCGGCTGGCCTTCCAGTTACTGTGCCATGACTGACAGCTTACCTAAGTCCCTTCTTTGCCACTGCTCAGGTTCTCTTGTAGTTTTATACCCAAATATACCCCAAGTCCAGATCAATTACATCCATTGTCAAGGCTGGAGCTGCAGAATATTTAAAAACCACTACCACTCTTTTCCCAGCTATATAATCAGGAAGTGGTAAGGAGACAAAGTAGTGACCAGACCACCCCTAGCCCCACAAAAAATTCCAGGCATTAAAATGATACACTTAAGAATTTGACAATTTGGTTTTCCAGACCATCTGGAAACCTGATTAGAATTCTAGGCTGTTATAGTCTACTATTTACTATACAGGCTATCAAACAGTCCAAGTAACATGGGACAATTTGCTGGTAAACATATAAAGGCAGATACTGGTTTCAATAGCTTAAGAACACAGTTTTGGTCATGACCAAGGAAGTACATTGTTTACAGCTGTACCTATTTCCTTCAGTCAAGTGATCAGATTTTCTAATAATGCGGGTAGGGCTTTGCCTTGCACGCAGCCCACTGGGCTGACCCGGGTTCAATTCCTCCGCTCCTCTTGGAGAGCCCGACAAGTTACTGAGAGTATCTCGCCTGCACGGCAAAGCCTGGCAAGCTACCCATGATGTATTAGATATGCCAAACACAGTAACAACAAGTCTCACAATGGAGACGTTACTGGGCCTGCTCGAGCAAATCAATGAACAACAGGGGGACAGTGCTACAGTTCTTAGAAAGCAATCTGATCTCTCTAAGAGATCCTTGACACTCCAGAGTATGTGTGTTTTGGTTTGAATTCTAACTGGTCTTTTCTTGGTTTGTTTTGGACCAGACTTGAGTTATGCGGGGGAGAGAACCCAGGTAGGCCACGTGCCAGGCAGGTCCCCACTGTACGATCACTCCAGCCCCTGTTCAGACTCACCTTTATGTTCCCCTCTGCTGAGCCCGTAGTAAAATATTCCTCACAGGGGTCCAGCGCCAAGGCCTTGATGGCCGAGTCGTGGGCCTGGAACGTGTGCATCAACTGTCTCTGGCGGATGTCGAACAGACACACCCAGCCCTTCCTGCCTCCCGAGATGAGCAGCTGGTGTTTGGGTGCGTACTGGAGCACCGTGGCCCCGTGGTCATGGCACGTGAAGCCTGTAGGGAGACACCCAGGATCCTTCACAAACTAGCCCATTCTAGCGCTGCCGTTCCCGCTGAAGGGAGAACGCGGAAGGGTGGTTGTCACTGTCCTTTCTACGGGAGGGCGAGAGTGTTCATGTGGCCACTGCTTTTCTGAATTGATCTTAACACATTGTGCTGAGGAGTTGGGACCTTACACCCAAGCTAATGTGTGTGCCGCCTCATTGGAAATGTGAAGAAGTGACCACAGTTCTCCTGAGCTCTCCGTTAAGACCCCCAGGGTCCACAAACGGGGAAACGATCTATTGGTGAGTTCCTACAATTCCCAGGACTTGCCACATGGTGATACAGTATAAGTCCAGGAAGCGTGTCTGGCAGGCACAGGGCCCTGGGTTGGATCCCCAGCACTGCACGGCCTCTCCCCTCCCCCATGCCAGGGTTTAAATTTAATTTTATTTGCTTTTTGGGTCATACCTGGCGATGCAGAGGGGTTACTCCTGGTGGTGCTCAGGGGACCATATGGGATGCTGGGAATCAAACCCGGGTCGGCCGTGTTGCAAGGCAAATACCCTACCTGCTGTGCTATAGCTCCAGCCAGCCCCAAATTTTAATCAAAATTAAAACTATGATTAAAGCCTTAAACTAATGAGCTATCAATAATTTGGAATGAAATAAAACTGGAAATGATGAAACCTTTCAAAATGTACATCAGCATGTTAAAATCCTAAAGTTTTCTACTAAAATTTCTTTGCTTAAAGAAAAATATTTGAGCCTCAGGGATGTGCTTCCCAGTAAGCTCCTGAGTGTGCCCCCACCAAACCAAAAGAATATGAAATGGTAGAGTTTTACTATTACAGTAAGGTGAACTTTGGGGGCTGGGGGGCAATAAAGGGGATTTAACCCAGAATCTCAGATTTTAGATGAAGTTTACTTTTGTGTTTTATTCTTTTACTTGTACTGATTTTTATGAGTATAAATAATTCCTTAAACAGCCAGGAGCACCATTCTCTATACATTTTTTTTTTGTCACACCTGGCGGTGCTCAGGGCTTACTTACTAACTCTGAGTTTAGGTCTGGCAGGCTGGAGGGACTATATGGGATGCCACGATTGAACCTGGGTTAGCCATGTGCAACACAAATGCCCTGTCCACTATACTACCTCTCTGGCCCCCCTCCATACCCTATTTTATATGAAGAGTATAACATGACACTAGGTTAGCTGGAATTCTACAGCTGTACTGATTTCCAGTAAGCTTAGATAATTTTAGTCCAAGCACTTTCCCGCTTTTACCCTGCTGCTAAACCCAGAACTCGCTATTAAAATCAAGGAGGCACTGTCCCACCACCACCTGCTATTTCCCGGCTGGCACTCACCATGAATGAGGCTGTTCCCAGGGGAGATCAGCGTGTCCCACAGGCAGACGTTTCTTATAAAGAGACAGTCTCAGTCATTCTTAGGCACACAGTATCCTCAAGTTTAGTATCTTGACTAATTTTTTTTTATTTTTTTAATTCACTGCCTCATTCACTCACTTCCATAAAGCAGCAATCCTAAACTGGAACAAGACTGGGGGAAATCACTCGCCTCGGAGTTAATCCTTTCTGAATCACATAATCCCCGAGTCTCATCCTCCAGTAAAAATGAGACATGATTTCCTGCATGGAAGGGAAGCTCTCTCTCCCCCCACAGTGACAACCCCCGAAGGGGTCCGAGAAATGGGTTCCCAGGCAAGTGATGTCAATGAAGAGGGTGTCTTAAGTTCTTAAGAGCCTGAGAGTCTTAACAGAGAAAGAATTTAAGACTCCATGAAGGGTAAGCTTCAGCTTCCTCTTTTTGGTTAACAAATAAAACAAAAACTACTTGAACAACGATCACTGTGTTTGTGGGATGGGGAACGCTACTAAATAGAAATCCATAGTTCATAGCAAGCTTCCTGCTATGAAGCTTGTTTGAGCAAGCTGTGAACAATGGCTTATTATTTTGTTTCTCTACCAACCTACCTGTTGTCATTAGACTGTCCAGATGTGGCGACTAGACTTGAAGAGGTAATAAAGGCGAAGTCACTTGTGGCTTTACTGTGGCACTGCCAACTCTAGAAAACACAGTGGAACTAACGTTACCTAAAAACCCAATAAAATCTCTAGAGCACAGAATTCTGCCGATAAAGTACACATGAGCTAAGAACAGTTCTTAAGTGTAAAGGTGATAGAACAAAGGACCTGAACGCATGCTTTATATTCGAGAGCCTGAGTTTAATCCCTAGCACCACATGGTTGCTTTTTTAAAATTTTTTTAAAGTGGCTAAATTCTTCACCATAGTCCTAGGTGAAGAATTTAGCAAACTAAAACAAAGTCAAGTGGGGTACAAATAATCAAATTAAGACTACCCACAATAGGCTCCATGGATGTTCTGGAACTGTGGGGACCATTTACAAAGTTAGGCACTGCTAAATCATGTGGATAAATAAAAATTTGGAGGTGGGGATCTAGAAGGAAGCTGTCAAAATTGAAAATAAAATTCTGTTTGGAGGGCTGGAGCAATAGTACAGGGGGTAGGACATTTGTCTTACATGCAACCCCCAGCATCCCATGTAGTCCCCCGAGCAATGGCAGGAGTAATTCCTGAGTGCAGAGCCAGGAGTAACCCTTGTCCATCACCAGGTATGACCCAAAAAGCTGTCGCTGTCACTGTCCTCCCGTTGTTCATCGATTTGCTCGAGCGGGCCCAGCACGGCAAAGCCTAGCAAGCTACCCGTGATGTATTTGATATGCCAAACACAGTAATAAGTCTCACAGTGTTACCGGGCCCACTCAATCCAAAAAGAAAAAAACAACTGTTTTGAAAAAGCTCTAACTGAACGCAAAATGGCAGATTCAAAATCATATAATATCTTAAACATTATTAAAAATATGGGGCTGGAGCGAGGATACAGAGGATAGGGGCTTGCCTTGCATGTGGTCAACCCAGATTCAATCCCCGGCATACCATATGGTCCCCTGAGCAACATCAGGAATAATTCCTGATTTCAGAGCCAGGAGTTACCCCTGAGCATTGCTGGGTGTGGACCCAAGACAACAAAAAAGAAATGTGTGGATAGTCAGGAAAACCAAAATATAAAGCCACTCAAGATAGCATTTCCTTCCACTCTCTTCTTCCAAATATTAATTTGTATTAAAGTTGAGTCTTACTATTGTATCCAAAATAAATTTCTCCAAGACTGGGGAAATGGTCTCCACAGTGCCAGAACATCCATGGGGCCTATTGTGGGTAGTCTTTAATTTTATTATTTCCAAGACCGGAGTTAGGTCCCCTAGTTTGATCCCTGGCACTGACTGTTCCCCGTAACACTACCGGAAGCGCCCCAAAACGTGCCACTAGAAAAGAATTCTCCACAAAATTCTGTCATTAAGATACTGGTAAATAAACAAAAATATAACATATACTGTATCTTAAATAGGACCAGAGAGTGGGAAAGACCCTGAAATTTTTCAAATAAAAGAATTGCCTTCAAACTGAAGGAAGAATGCTATAGGTCATTTCAGTTGAAAACTAGAGGTCTGGACTGGAGAGACAGCACAGTTGGTAGGGCACTCGCCTTGCACTGGGTTCAATTTCTGGAACCACATTTGGCCCACTGAGCAACTCCAGACGTCGCCCCCAAAATAAAATAAAACTAGAGGGCTGTGGTTGCTGAAGAACTGTTGTTTCCTCTCCCCACAGGTATCTTAGGCTCAGAAACGGACACTTGGCTAATAATGGGGTCTCCGTCAGTGCTATGAGAACACAGCGACACTTACCATGTAAGGTTTAGGATTTGATGCTGTTTGGTTTACTTGCCAGATACTCAGGAAACCTTCTCCATCTGCAACACCACACTGTAATAATGACATCAGTATTACACAAAGCCAAGTACCCCTATGACACACAAAAACACTGAGAAGAGCAATTTCACTTCCTGGCATCCACCCCTATAGCCCAAAAACAATTACTTAAAAAAGACATCTGCATTCCAGGTAGTTCACTGCAGCACTATTCACAATATATCTGGAAACAACCCAAGTGTCTAAGAACAAATGAGTGGGCCAAGAAATTGTGGCATAGGGGCTGGAGCGATTGCACAGCGGGTAGGGCATTTGCCTTGCACGTGGCTGACCCAGGTTCAATTCCCAGCATCCCATATGGTCCCCTGAGCACCGCCAGGAGTAATTCCTGAGTGCATGAGTCAGGAGTAACCCCTGTGCATCACCGTATGTGACCCAAAAAGAAAAAAAAATGTGGCATATAAATTTGCTTTTTGGTGTTGATTTGCTTCCATGTACTTATAAAAATCCGCAATTATTTTCAGACAGCATAGCAGTAGCCTCCAAGAACTAACCTTGTTGCCTTGTGAATTGAAATAGAGCCTGGTGACTCTCGCATTCCCAGCTTGGCGGAAGCAGACAAGTTGCTGAGGGCGCGTCCATTCGAACATTCGGACACTGCCATCCTGAGCACCTGTGAGATCTGAAGCGTAAAAGGAAAAAGAAATTAAAAACCAAAAAGAGTTCCAATATGCTCCATTCAGTAAATCAACTGCAAAATGAAAGAGGCCACATTTTATCCCCTGGATCAGAGAAGACTTACAGTATTGATGGACGGGGTGTGAGGTCATTCTCTTAACGTTATGTAGATTCCTTTTCATAAGCTTTGAAAGATAATAAGGAACAGGTTTGTTTTGTCCATCATAGAAGTGGTGAAGGACGTTCTTCAGGCCAACTCTAATTCTGAAAATGCTTATCTCCTTACCACTAGATTATTGCTGAAACCAGCACTGCTTTAAATTTGTTGTTGCTGTTGTTGTCGTTGTTGTTTTGTTTTGAGGCCATGCCCAGCAATGCTCAGGGCTTATTCCTTTCTCTGCACTCAGAGATCACTCTAGGTGGTACTCAAGGAACCATATGGAGTGCTGAGGATTGAACCCGTGTTAGGCGCAAACAAGGCAAGTGCCCTACCCACTGTCCTATCACTCTGACTCCTGTTTTGAATTTTCAAATCCACCTCATTTGTCTGAAGAGATCACAGCACCTGGCCTGTGTGTTTCTGGGAGGACACCAAGAGCCTTCTCTAGCAGTAAAGGTGTGCTCATGTGAGCACCCTGTGTAGAGGACAGCCAGTAGAGCTATAGCACAGCAGGTAGGGCGTCTGCCTTGCACGCAGCCAACATGGCCGACCCGAGTTCGATTCCTCCGCCCCTCTTGGAGAGCCCGGCAAGCTACCGAGAGTATTCGATATGCCAGACACAGTAACAACAAAGTCTCCAATGGAGACGTTACTGGGCCCGCTCGAGCAAATCGATGATCAACGGGAGGGCCTTTACTTACTTTACTCACAACGAGAAGGGCCCCTTCAACTACAGTGACTAACCACGTCCTCCGACGCATCCTCCCAAGCCCTTGTCCACAGAATTCCTCTGACTCTGCTTTCCCACTCCAAGGCCTCTGTTTGCTCATCTATAAGCAATACTGGGAGCTAATAGCAGCACCTCGTAAGAGCAAACATAGGTGCCAGGTACAAAGACACTCCCACTGTTGGCTATATTCATACATTAATGCCCCCTGGCCCTGATCTGTGGGACCTTCCCCCTATCACTTATTTTGGAGGGAGCCCGGCCCCAGAGAGCATGTCTCCCATTAGCCACATACCACGCTGGCTCCGGTGCTCGTCTGTCCAGTGCCCAGCCACGGCATGGATGACGCTGGATGTGCCTGCGCTGTGGAATGGGCCGACGACGTAGGCTGATAGAGAGTTGTGGTGGACCCACGGTAATCGATGTCATCTGAGCTGTGAAAAGCATCTACATGTTACTCTGCCAGCTACATTTTTCTCTTAACTCAAACTCTAAGGACACAGCTGCCTATTATCTTCATTTAAAAAAATTATTTTTTTAAGCACAGTAGAAAGGACATCTGCACCTGGATGTTCAATGCAGCACTGTTCACAATAGCCAGAATCTGGAAACAACCCCAGTGCCCCAGAACAGACGACTGGTTAAAGAAACTATAGTACATCTAAACAATGGAATACTATACAGCTGTTAGGAGAGATGAAGTCATGAAATTTACTTATAAGTGGATGGACCTGGAGAGTATCGTTCTAAAGTGAAATGAGTCAGAAACAGAGGGACAGACACAGAAGGACTGCACTCATTTGTGGAATATAAAATAACAATCTGAGACAGACACCCAAGGAGAACAGACACAAGGGCCAGGAATACTGCCCCATAGTTAGAAGTCTGCCTCCTGAGCTGGGGGAGAAGGCAGCTGGAATAGAAAGGGGATCACTAAGCCAATGATGGTTGGAGGAATCGTTCGGGATGGGAGATGTGTGCTGAAAGTAGACAAAGGACTAAACATGATAATCTCTCAGTATCTGTATTGCAGACCATAATGTCCAAAGGTAGAGAGAGATTATGGGGAAATTGTCTGCCATGGAAGCAGGGGGAGGGTTGGAAATGGGGAGTATACTATGGACATTGGTGGTGGGGAATGTGCACTGGTGGAAGGATGGGTGTTTGATCATTGCATGACTGAAACTCAAACATGAAAGCTTGTAACTATCTCACAGTGATTCAATAATAAAAAATCAAAAAAATTAAAAAAAAATTTTTTATTATGACACCATGATTCACCAAGTTGTTCTTAATACATTTGTTTCAGGTATTAAAATGTTCCACCACCAGGGGCAGAGCTATAGTACAGTGGGGAGGACCTTCACCTTGCATGCGGCCAACCTGGGTTCGATCCCTGGCACTCCGTTTGGTCCCCAGAGCACTGCCAGGAGAGATTCCTGAGCCAAGACTAACCCCTGAGCATCACAGGGTGTGACCCCCAACCCCAAAAATGTTTCTTCACCAATCCCACCACCAGTGTGACCTTTCCTCCACCAATGTGTCCAGTTTCCCACTCACCACAACCCAGTTTGCTTCCTTAGCAGGTGCAAACATATATTAAAAAACCTTGTTGTGGCAGCCATGTGGTGCCAGGGACCAAACCAGGCATATGCTCTACTACTGAGCTGCATCTCATCTTGGACCCCTACACCTTTTAGATTTTTTAAAAAACATATATTTCCTTAAGAAAAGTAGAAGGTTTAATCACCTCTTACTTTAGTGCTGGCTAACGTATTCCTTTTGGGTAAAATAAACATTTTCCTTTTGGGTAAAATAAACATTTAATCTAATGTTATTTGGGAGCAGCTTCACTGAGGCATGGTTTAGAACAAATGCTTTTTTAAAAAAGAGATTATCTTTTTACATATACAGAAAACAGTGTATTTATTGTAGAGTGCCCCATGTATCCAATCCATAAATTTCAAAGAAATTGTAATTTGCCAAGCATCCCCAAAAGGGTCAGAGAGAGAATACGGGAGGGAAGGTCTTGCTGTGTACATGGCTGACTAGTTCAACCCCCAGTCCCCTGAGTAGTCTCAAGCAGAGCCAGGAATAGCCCCTGAACACGGAAGGATGTGGCCCAAACCAAACCACCTGTGAAAAAAGAAATTCTAGTTTATGTATTTCTTACAGGTATTGTCATCTAAAATAAAGGTAACTTTTTATGATTGGACTAATAGGACTTTGAAGTCTTATATTGAAATGTAATTACATGCTGACAAAATAATAATAATAAAAATAATAAATTTTATTCTCCCCTGACCCTGAAAGAGCCTCCAATTGTTGGGAAAAGGTGAGTAAGAAGAGACTGCTAAAATCTCAGGGCTGGGAGGAATAGAGACGTTACTGGTGCCTGCTCCAGTAAATTGACGAACAACAGGATGACAGTGACAGTGATTCTCCAGCAAGGAGAGATGTTATCGGATGTTATCAGGGCTCCAAGCACATAAAATTCCCAAGTGTCTGAAGATAATCAAAAGGGAGGGTAAATGGCACAAAACCTCCAAACAAGGATGCATTGCTGAATGCTCTTGCTCAGGGCCTACAACTTTAGTCATAGTTCTCTACATTTTTGTCTGTAAAAAAATTAGAAAAAAAGAAAGAAAAAAGAAGAGACCCTGAAAATTATCTATTAGGCACAATCTATCAGTCTAACATATTTTTACATACTACTTCTTACTTTAGTCATCCAGATAACCTGAATTCACTTAATACTGTCTCACTCCTGATTTCCCTGGGACTAAAATGCCGAAGTGACAGCTGACTCCAGATACCATGACCATAGCCAGGCAGTATATTAAAGGGGTGAGGACACGTGTGCAAGGCAATGAGCTTGACCTGTGACGCCATGTAGACTCCAGTGTTATTTATTTAAAAAAATAAAAAATAAATTTAAAAAAGCTTGTTTTTATTTGGTTTGGTTTTGGGGACGTACAAGGTATTGCTTAGGGGACCACAGGTGGCGAGGGGGATTCGAGCCCAGGTAGGTCACATGCAACACAAGCACCTTAACCTCAGTACTAGCTCTTCTGCTTGATTTTAAAAAGCTGTTTAAAACCACTATGAATAGTTTGAAATCTAATGGAAAAAGTGTACATAATTTTTTTCAATGATATAAGTAGAGTGTTTTACTGTCAGATAAACCAATTATGTTTTTGTTTGGGTTCTTTTTTGGGGGGGGGGGGAACAGGCTCAGACCTGGCATGCTCTGGAGAGACTCCTGTGTCTGCACTCAGGAATCACTCCTGATGGGGCTGGGTACTAGGGATTGACCCTGGGTTGGCCATGTGCGAGGCAAGTGCCCTCCCCACTGCACCATCTCTCCAGTGCCTAAATCATGTTTCTCACCTACCCAGATAAAGGGAGAATAATATAATTCCAATTATGTATACAGGCACTACTGTGTTCTTGGGAGGTGGAGGTGGGGGGAGGGAGGGGAGTGGGGGTGGTAGGAGGGAATACTACACTTAAAATTGACTCCAGAAGATCAACCTTTTGGATTCTCTGTCAAATTCTTCTCCAATCCATATATATGACTGACAGGCCAATAGGGAAGTAACATCGAGTTCTTGCACGTCATGCGTTGAAGCCAAAACAATTTCATTACTGTTTGCCTGTAAAGCAAAGGCAGAGTCAATAGCTTTCAGCAACTTTACTATAAAGAAGCAGTCTTTAAAATGACTGCAGATTTTACCTTATTAACAGAAAATGCCATGATCATATCAGACTCCTTATGAATGATCTTCGCTTTTCCACCTGGATATCCCAGATCGGCTTCAACCTGCAAAACATTTGTCAAATATGTTAGTGGTGGGCAGCATAGCTCCATGTAGATTATATACACCCCCGTAAAGAAGGGTAAGAAGAAAATGGAGCAGGAGCAGCAGTAAGAAAAAAGATGCCAGTCGTTTTAGTGTGTTGAAAATTATCTTTGAACCTAAATTGTCTGATGCCCTGCAATCACCCCAGTTATAAGTATTTTCATAGTGACTGCAGGAAAATGACTGTCACTTAAGGTGGCCAATATAGTTAATGCAGTTTTTATTAGTACTTAGAGTAGTTCTGTGTCTCTTTTGCTCTTCCAAACGTACAAAGGTTATGCAGTAAGGCACTGGGTGGAGGAAGTAAAGAGAAAAAGACAAAGGAGTCCCACCTGAAATGAAGCATTTTTATATAAGGATGCAGAGAGAGGACCAGGAAGTCAATGTGATAAAGTACAGGTAGAAAGGAAAGGAGGAGAATGAGAGGGCCACTAGGGAGGAGGAAGAAAGCTGAGGCAGGATGGACTGTGGAGGAGGAAAGAGAAAACCATCACATTTCAGAACAGGCAGCGTGAGAATGAAACAGGGTTTAAGAGAGAGAAGAACTGGACACAGTGACGTGGCCCCGCCCAGTGCCACTGCAGTGGAAGGGAGCCACGTGCACTCCGGTTAGCCAGGGTTAGCCTGAGAATCGAGGGGACTGAGTCCCCGAGCTTCAGAGGATGAGCTAAGTACAGGAGTACGGAACTCTACCTTCGTGTGGGATTCTTCGGCTACCGAGCTGTGTCTGACCTGCTTCACATGTTCTTCTACAGACTAAGTCACACCACACCGTCACAAACACAAACACATGCATGGAACAAAATTATAAAGAGAATGAAAAATTTTAAACTGAAACCGTCGCTCCATCACTGAAGGATGGTTAAATTTAATTTCCAAGCATTCCTTTCAAACGCACAAAATTAAGAACGTAAATACATAAAATGTGATGTCATGAAATAAATGCAGAACAGGCAAAATTAAGGTTAATAAGCATACTACATGCACGATGACAAAAACATTTGTAAACAGGTTATATAACTAAGTTCCTATTTAAACTGTAATCTCTAAAAATAAAACCTACTTGTGCACACAGGTGCGTTCTATACTACACAGATTCCAATCCTACATGGATTTGCTCCAAATACAAATTAAAGCAACTAACTTATTTCTAAATATAGCTAGAAAATATTGGTTATTACTTTCCTCTAACTCATGCATCTATATTGTCAGCAATTAGTAATTTATACCATTTGCTCTCATCTTATTCTCTAAGTAGCACTGTAGCACTGTCCTCCTGTTGTTCATCGAGTTGCTGGAGCAGGCACCAGTAACGTCTCCATTGTGAGACTTGTTGTTACTGTTTTTGGCACATCGAATACATCATTGGCTAAGTAATTTTAATAAATGTGGCATACTTCTGAGTGTGATAATGTTTGTCTTTTAACACATTGGGAAATTTTTTTTCTTAATGAAAACAATTTTTCAGCCTGCCTGGCAAGTTCCCCATGGCGCATTCGATATGCCAAAAACAGTAACAACAAGTCTCACAACGGAGACATTAATGGTGCCTGCTCAAGTAAATCGATGAACAACGGGAGGGCAGCGCTACAGTGCTACAGTGCTACCTGTGCTACTCAATACAGTAGTAACTAACCACATGTGACTGAATTTAAACAAAACTAATAAGTGACTTTAGTCACACAGGCCACATCTCAAGGGCTCAAAGGCTGGTGACGACTATATCGAACAGATCCAAGTTTCCAATGTTCTACTGGGCAACCCTGGACATGATGATAATTTCATCCAACAATTTAAAATTAAAACGGAAAAAAAATTAATTAAAAAAATAAAATTCAAATGGTATAAAAGGCTCTAAGATTCTGTCTCCCATTCAAACTCTCAGTCATATTCGACTGTCGTTTCGGAGCTACCTAAGGCTTAAACCGCCTTGAATATGGAAATACTCCCGGGTTTTTTTCTTGGCCCACTCATGCAGAGCGTCCCTGGTGGTAGAAAAAGAGCACACACCGCTTAAGGGCTACGGCATCCTAAAGGTACAGAGACCGGAGTGGGCATGTAGAAGAGGGGTCTAAGAAGAGAGAGGAAGACCTGGATGGGTCTTGAATTCAAGACCCAAAGGTCCCAAGACTACCATGGATGGGTCATGGGTCCAAGGAGCCTTGATGCTGGTTTCCCAGAGTACTCCCAGGCGCTGACAGTCCAAACGAATCAAACTGCTGTCAACCTTGTTCTTCAGGAAACTGACCCTTCACTGAGCATTCTGGGACTAATAAAGCTCCAACTGAGCAAGGAACTTTGGAATCTACTTCTCAGGCACCTCTACCTTTTTTTTTTTTTATGTATTTTGGACTCAGCATCAGTATGTGAACTGCTATAGAGAGATGCTAAACGAAAAGAGCCAACCAATCTGACTCTGATTTCTCTAGCATTGTAGCACTGTCCTCCCATCGTTCATGGATTTGCTTGAGTGGGCACCAGTAACGTCTCTATTGTGAGACTTGTTGTTACTGTTTTTGGCATATCAAATATGGGGAGCTTGCCAGGCTCTGCCATGTGGGCGGGATACTCTCGGTAGCTTGCCAGGCTCTTCGAGAGGGACAGAAGAATCGAACCCGGGTCGGCCACGTGCAAGGCAAACACCCTTACCTTTTGTGCTATCGCTCCGGCCCCTGATTTCTCTAATACATCCTAAATCAACATTCCAATCCCATCAGTCTCTTTATGATTCTTTAAAAACAGCGCTAAAGAATCGTTCTAGTTAATTTCCCTCATTCTTCATGGCAGTCCACAGTTTTTAAGCCCGCTGAGAAAGTAAAATGATAGTCACAAGGGCTGGCCACAATCACCGTCCAGGTAAGTGGGTGAAAAGAAAGTGTCCAGCAGGTACTGCTGCCCAGGAGACAGGAGGAATGGAGAAGTGGGTGAATATTTTACGCTGGGAAACAGAACCAGCTCATGTGTGACTCTCAGGTTTCACTTTCTAAGCGAAATATAAGTTTGCCCTGAAGTTGATCCTCGTTGGTTTCTAGATGCTAAATATTTCTAAATGTTTTTAAAGGGCTATATTTTAAAAGAATTTTTATTTATTTTCTTTTCTTTTCTCATGGATTTTATTTAGCAAATCATGGATTATATATCTGACAATCCACTCTGAACACTCGCCAAACTAACCATTAGGTCATTAAATGCTCAAATTGACTAAAATGCTTTCTCTGTCATCTAGAGAAGAGGTCATTTGGAGTTCTAAAGTGCCAGTCTCCCAAAACCCACCTTCTTCCTAAACCCTGTATTGCATTACATTACTCATGTACGTTCAGCTCAAACTATTCAGTATTGTGCAATATCAGGCTCTCTGCCTACTTTTTAAAAAGCAATCTCCCTTCATCTTATATTTGTCATTTCTAGTTTAGTCTCTCACAAAATTACTGTGAAGCTTAAAGTTTACCCTGAAGGGGGCTGGAACGATAGGGTGTTTGTCCTATACCCGGCCAACCCAGGTTTAATTCCCAGTATCCCATATGGTCCCCTGAGCACCACCAGGAGTAATTTCTGAGTGCAAAGCCAGGAGTAACCCCTGTGCACTGCCAGGTGTGACCCAAAGAGAAAAAAAAAATTTGCCCTGACGCTTATCCTCTTCCATTTCTAGATGCGAAATATTTCTAAATGTTTTTAAAGGGCTATATTTTAAAAGAATTTTTATTTCCAATTAGATTCTTTTTGGAAAATCATGATATGAAGCACAGTCATTTATATATTAAGGTCCTCAAACCAGCCATCATAATGTTTATTATATGTAAAAGCCCACCGACAAGTACTATAAAGGAAGTACCCATGTTCACTTGCTCGGACATGATTTATCAAAGAACCTGAGTTGTTTTATTGTTATGAAATTAAAACTAAAGTTTTAATTTTGGGCAGGGTCACACCTAGCAATGCTCAGGAGTAACTCCTGCCTCTGAATTCGTGGGACCAGGAGGTGCTGGGACTTCTACACGCAAAGCATGCACTCTAGCCCGCTGAGTCTAGGACCTAAAACCTCCCTAAGCCCTAAAACCAAATTTGGTTTGCAAAAAAGCCATTATAATTTTTTTACCCAATGTATAAAAGAAAACACCTCCCAACTAAGAAGTGAAAATAAATCAGGTACTGATTTTCACTGGAGTTATTAAAACTAAAGTTACAACAGAAAAAAATACTGTTCCAAATTACCTCACTCTGTTTTCTTTTCTTTGTGAAAATATATCTAATAAATGTCTCTTGAAGGATTTCTTGTTTAACAAGGAAATGCCAAAGTCGTTTGACTGGAAGAGCTGAAGAATCTCGTGATCTATTTAAAAATGAAACAAAACATATACTGTGTTAGTCTATAGAAAAATGTGCTTCTTATTTCAAGATACTTAAAAAAACTATTTATTGCAAATGAGTAAAATGAGTACAGCTCTTAGCTCAACAGTATTTTGGTTTTTAAAAATCATCAAAACACTGGTGGTGGGATATGTGCACTGGTGAGGGGTCAGATGTTGGAACATTGTGTGATTGAAACCCAATCATAAACAACTGGGTATCTCACCATGACTCAATTAAGAAGGTTATTCACCAAGAAATAATTCTCTAGTCACTGGTCTCTGGAGGAAGAGACTGATCTAAGAGCCAGGTGAATCTCTTCTTCTCCTTTAAATTGTATTCTGGGTCGCTGCTATCTCCTAGTCAGTGAATCCAATCACAGCCATCATATCTAACAGCCTAATAAGTAAAAAAGCCTTAGTCTTTTCAGTCTATAAGCTATAGTCAGTTAGAGCCAGGTACTGCAAAAGCAGCTACTTATCCATTAGAAACTAGATGGACAAGAAGAAAACATCAGAACTTCCATTAAAAACCAATCGATGTCATTGTGTGACTGAAACGTAAGCACGAAAGTTCATAAGTCTGTAAGTGCACCACCTCATGGTGATTCATTAAAAATAAATAAATAAACCCAATCACTGTAATGTTGTTACATTACTGACAAAGACCAAGCAGACTATTTGCATATGCAAATAATTGTTCCAACACTTTCCACAGCTCTTAACATAATGATAAAAATATAAGAAAGGGCTTCTTTTCTTCCTGATTATAAAAGTAGTATGTCTACTGAACTATTTTTACTGGAAAGAGATCCCTGTACTAGAAGCCCTATTACAGTTATGACTGCTCTGAAGACTTCTGGAATAGCTTGTCAGCTTGTCAGCTGGTCTTGGAAAGCTGAAACTGAATTCTGCCCTCATCAGCTTTATTAGTGTTCTTACTTGAATGGTGTGTTCTCAGGTTCTAGCATTGCTTTATTTCGAAGAATAGCTGGTCCAGCTCCAACGGAAAGGTCAGTTGGATATGTGTTGATATAGTTAGGGGGTGGGCCTTCAAATTGGTCCATTTTGTCTTGCAAGATCTGTTCCCAATTCTCCAAGTTCTTTATCACGGCAATACCCAGTGGTGATGTTACAGGCAATTCTGAAAGGTAACAGAATATGGCATTTTATTTTAAAATGCTTATCATTGCATAGTTATGAAATTCAATATCTCAATGAGCCAAAACTTCGGAAAATCTAATTAACCTAATATTTTTTAGTGTCTCAATGATTCCAAGAAAAAAGATCTCTAGAAAAGATTCCAGTGTCTCCAGTTTTTTCTTTCAACTTTCTAGGCGATGAGTGACTCTTGTATTGAATTAAATCACAGAGCAGAATCTAAAATACAAGACCTCATAAAATCTCCAATGTGGTATTTTAGTGCCAACTGCTTTTCTACAAGGTATTGAAAAGAGTAACTTGATGGCAACTTATTATATTTAATAACATGAATTTCCAAGTTCCAAACTTACCTGAGAATTCCAATCCAGCAATGGGAAAGAAATTCTTGACATTGTGAAGTGCTAGCTTGATCATTGTCAGATGCAGAAGAGCCCAGCTGTTCGAAGGGAACAAGAAAAGAAATTCTCCTTAACTCGAAACCAGGAGAGAAACATAGCAATGACCCTTGCCATTGATTAGCTCAATACCCAAACCCAGGAAAAAAAATAGTGTTCTTTCCTAATAGTTAACTACAAAATGGTGCCTTTGTAGTCTCTGAAAATAAAAAATATATATGTAATACCTGAAAACTGTGTAATGGAAAAAAATCATATGGTTTCATGTAGTCTAACAGTCTATGAATAAATTATATGTTCTAACCATGGATGAATGGACTCCATAGTTCTGGGCCGGGCAGATGGCTCAGTTCTCTGCAAACAGGAGGCCATGCCCCATCTCTGGTCCCATCTGGGTCCCTAAGGATTGGTTGGAGCAAGCACAGAGGATTGGCTGGAGCAAGCACAGAGTAGCCCCTGAAAACTGTGATTTTGTGGCCCCTCAGTTTTGTAGTTTTCCTTACTAAAAACGTTGGCACCCTGCATTAAAAGTTATTCTTGGCTTGCTCTTTAGGCCCATGTTTTTCTTGGGCACATATTTCTCTTGCTGGTCTTGACGTTTCTTTACTTATATCCCGGAGAAGCCTGTGTTCTCTTTTGAGCACATTTCCCCTCTTTCCTCTCACATCTTTCTAAGCAAATTTTGTTCAATAAAAATTACCTTACGGGGCTGAGAGGAGGGTGCCAGCCTAGCATATAGCCAACCGGGGTTCAATCCTGGCCTCCCATAAGATCCCTCGAGCACCACCTGGAGTAACTCCTGAGTACAGGGCCAGGAGTAAACCCTTGGCATTGCTGGGTGTGACTCAAAAAGCAAAACAAACAAACAAACAAAAAAACCCACCACAAAAAACCTACCTTCCTACCTTACTTTACCCCCTGAAAAATTAAATAAATTTTTCTTTAAAGCAAATATTCCGTACAAAATTCCTAACCTGAAAACATAAGTCAGTTCTTCTGTACATTATAAAGTGGTTTAAAATCAGAATTTTAACACAGAATTTTTTACGAGAGACAAAGGGGAAAACATTACCTATAGGAATTTGGGTCATGATGCTCCTGTATTTGTGTATCTGAAAAAAAAGCATCATCTTCATCTTCATCGCTATGAATACTTTCATCAGAATCATATATGACACCGCTATCAGACAAAGGAAGGAATGGCTGCCAAAAAAGGGCAAAGTTATTCTTTTAATATTTACATGAATAATTTCTGTCTTCATTTACTTATCACTACACATTTTATTTTTTTGGTTTGTCCTTTGGCCACATGTGACAGTATTCAGGGGTTAAATCTGGCTCTGTGCTCAGGGATCAATCATGGTGGGGCTCAGGGGACCATATGGTATGTTGGGGATTGAACCTGGTTAAGTCTCATGCAAAGTAAGGACTCTAACCACTACAGTATCTCTCCAGCCCCCAACAATAAACATTTTCAATGGTATCAGCCTATGTTATTTTCTGTCACAAATTATACTATGCCTACAAAGATCAAGAAAATCAGGTAACACTGGTTCAATAAAATGAGCAGCCAGACACAAATTCTTTTAAAAATCAAGTCTTTTTCTTTATATATCAGCAATAGTTTAGAAGTTCTACATGAAAAGGACATTGAAAAACAAAAGACCAAAGGAAAACTTCATAAAGTTGTTATAATCTATAATTCTAGATTATAAAAGAAAATTTAAAAAGATTCCTGAAATTGTTTAAGGATACTGAAAAAAATAAAATCTATTTAACTTAAAATTTTAATTTATATAGTTAACTTATACTTTAAAAATAAACAACAATAAAAATTCCAGTATTTATTTTCCTTTTTTGAAATTTTACAATGATTCTTAATTTCCCAGGGAATAAAATAAGAGGATTAGGAGCTGGAGCAATAGTATAGCAGGGAGGGCATTTGCCTTGCACGCTGCTGACCCAAGTTCAATCCCCTGTATCCCATATGGTCCCCGAGAACCGCCTGGAGTAATTCCTGAGTGCAGAGCCAGGAGTAATCCCTGAGCATCACCGGGTGTGACCCAAAAAGCAAAAAGAAAAAAAAAGTGAAAGAGAAGAAGAGGAGCAGGAGGAATAAAGAAAGAATAAAATCATGAAAATAAATATTTATCAGTGAAAAGACCTGTCTTTGCTTAAAAACTATACAAAACCCCAAAAGAAAGTAGGGACCGGCTGCCCCCCACGAGCAGCTCTCCGGCACAGCCACGGCCCCGGAGGCACAAGGACTGAGCACAGAGAACCAGCCGCTTGGAGCAGAAAAGCAAATGGACTATGTGTTAAACCGCGCCACCAAGCCTGCCCGGAGGGGAAAGGGTGTTGACCGGCCCGCCCACTCCTCTCTGGAAAGAAAGATGGCGGCCGCACGGGAGCCTTGTGGACAGCAGGTTTGAGCCGGGGGCAGGGGGCAGCAGGCGCCTCATGGGAAGGGGGGCGTTCTGGCCCGTCCTTCATGCCCGACCGAGGTCACCAGCTGCCCCCCCACGAGCGGCTCTCCGGCACGGCCACGACTCCAGAGCACTGAAACCAATCTCTTAACTATCTAACTTTTAATAGAAATTCTTCCAGGGTTAATAAGTAAAATAGCAGAAATCCAAAACCGCAATTGCGGCCGCGCGACATCATTTTATTCTTAAACCAAGTTGTAGAAAGCAAATCATTTCACAACGCTGTTTCAGCATGTCTGATTGGGGGGGGGGGGGGTCGTAAACTCTAAACAATAATTGTGCATCTTCTATCGAAACAATGTATCTAGTCAAAGTAGATAGAGTATTAACTAGAACTCATCTGCCTCACAGGAATTGGGAGGGGTGGGAGGTGGGGTTCTATTGGGGTTCACGGTTAAAAATAAGTATTGGTAAAGGGAAATGTGTTTGATACTTACATGACTGAGACCTAAACCCGAAAGCTCTGTAACTTTTCCCACAGTGATTCAATAAAGAAATAAACTATTAAAAAAAATAATAAAAATTAAAAAAAAAAAGAAAGTAGGGACATGACTATTTAAGTATTTCGAAACTTCTGCCTGGAGAGGGGGTTGGTAATGATGGTTGTGAGGTCTCTCTCCAAAGAAGACCATCCAAACCAATCTCTTTAGAAAATAAAAGCCGGCCTTCAAACTTCACCCTGAAAGGCCCTCCCAGCATCTTGGCCAGGTGAGTCTGAGGTGGCATGCAAGTGCCTGGGGTGCCGGGGACCACCGCAAACACATCAAAGACGAATTTAGCCTTCCCCAAACAGAAGTGAGCAGTTCCAAAACCTCAAGGTAAGAACTAATACAGTTTCCAATGCAAGAGGCATGAGAGTGCATTTCCTTTTATGTGAGTGTGTGTGTGTATGCACGTGCGCGCGTACACACACACACAGACACAGACACAGACACACACACCCTCTCTACCCTGCCCCCCCCCCAAGATGACAGACAACACTATGGCACACTTCATAAGAGAAACATGGGGCCAGAAAAGAGTCCAGTGCTTAGGGAGCATGCCTGGATGCGTCCCATGGGGTTCGATCCCCAGTACCGGATACCTCCAGAGCATCACCAGGTGTGGGCTGAAGGCGTGAGCACTGCTGGGGTGGTCCTGGTGGTCCCCAGCACTAAAGGGCCCAAGCAGCATTGCTTCCTTAGACCCGAGTGCTGAATCACTGACTTGGCTGACCAAATTACTTGGAGTGACACCATGCCCCATGCACTGCTTGAGGGACTCCCCCCACCCCACCAAAAGGAAAGAAATATTAACAAAAGGGGGGCCATAAGCTATAAAAAATGAAATGACGCAAAGCAAGTATTAGCATGAACCGGTGACCATAATGGGTATAGTTCCCAGGACTGTTCTTTTTAAATTTTGTTTCCTTTGCTTTTAGGGTCAAGCTCAGTGATACTTGGATTACTCCTGGATCTGCACTCAGGAATTACTCCTGGTAGTGCTCAGGGGACCATATGGGATGCCAGGGATCAAACCTGGGTCAGTCATAAGCAAGGCAAAAGCCCTACCCACTGTACTATCTCCTATCTCTCCAGATCTTCCCATCCTGCCCGCCACACACACCCGCCCACAGGACTGTTCTGATTCGGAGGAAAAGCACACGCTGCCTAGGAGAAACAGAATATGTCTGGACTCTCAGGACATGCATGGCCTGAGCAAACCCTCAAACACCCAGTTATCTCCTTCTGCTCGAATTCCCTGCTGACCAAATATCAGAGGACCTATGTGGCTGATGCCCATACTGCAGTTGCTAGAGAAGAGTGCTGCTGAATAGAAGCTAAAACCTGACTTCTGGCTAATACCCAAGTCCTGTAATTTCATGTATTTCACCTGCCACCAAGCATGGTGCTAAACATCAAGTATCTGGTCATCCCTAAATGCTTATTAGTTTTCCAACTTGTGAGATCATGTGTCCCAAGATTGGTGACTCATTTCAGAATCTGCCCATCATTCCCTTATTAAAACACGAATTAACAAGACACGGAGAGCTGGCACTCCTTACGCCCTTACCTTTGCAACAAAGTAATCCCACATGCTCAGTTCTGGAGGAATAAATTTTTCTTTGTAAGATGGTCTCTCTGCGGGCACTGGTGGTGGGGTTGCATCTTTCACGGGCCTTCCAGGAACCAGCATCCGCATGTTAAATCTCCGTCGGTGCTTATCTATGTCTTCAGAAGGAGTAGGGGGTGCTGAATTTTTTTTAAAGGGGAGAAAAACACCAAACATTTTTTTTTAAAAAATCAATTCAAAGAGTTAAATCTCATCATTCTACCCTTACCATGTTTCAGCGTAAGCTCAGAGCTAACATCTGTGTCTAGTTATTCGATCGGTTTTCTAGCATAGTCACGGCACAGATGCATATCCAGAGTATGAATATAGCATATCCTGCCACGAGCAGTCTATGATATAATAAAGATTATAATATAATAATAGGGCTGGAGCGATAGCACAGCGGGTAGGGCGTTCGCCTTACAAGCGGCCAACATGGCCGACCCGAGTTCGATTCCTCCGCCCCTCTCGGAGAGCCCGGCAAGCTACCGAGAGTATTCGATATGCCAGACACAGTAACAACAAAGTCTCCAATGGAGACGTTACTGGGCCCTCTCGAGCAAATCGACGATCAATGGGAGGGCCTTTACCTTTACCTTTACCGTAATATAATAATAAGGATTAAAGTCATTCTATGTGTCATGTGTTAAATATATCAGATTCAATATGTAGAAAAGAGTACTCGAGTGACTATTTCTGGTGATGCAGTTCAAGAAAGATTCACAGGCTGTGTAAGATGTAAATGCAAACTTCAAGGAAGGGCAGACACTCAATGTGAAAGGACAAACAAGCAGCAGAGAAGGCATGGGGTATAGATGGAGAGAGTAAACTACCTTTCTGAATCTGGGAGCTGGGAGGGGAACAACAGTGACAGGCTCGAATTAGGGGAAGACTCGACTGAGGCTGTGAAGCTGGGTGATACTCACTGAAACCCTTATGCTGACGATGAATAAGGTAGAGTCTGCGCATGCATGAAAGATGCAGATGGCCTATGAAGAGTCTAAGCTAGGAGTGAAATGTAGTTCGCGTGGCAGAGAATCTGCCCAGCGTGTGCTCGGCTCTGGGCTCCCGCCCCAGCAGCACTGGGTAAGCCCCCAAAGCAGAGCAGAGCCATGCCAGAGAAGGGCACCACCCACAGTGACTCCGTAATAAAAATCAATAAGAGTCTGAACTCTTCTTACTGGTGGGTGGAAAAGACAAAGAGGCCGAGTTACGAGGAACACAGATGGGCAACACTTCAAGCACTCAGAACTAATTGGATATTAGATGGAAAAATTCAAAGAGAAAATCAACCCAAACCCTCTCCCTATCACAGAAAATGAAAATCGCCTCTCAACTCCTCTCTCACCCCCCCCCCAAAAGCCCAATTCATCCACAAACTGGTCAGCAACTAGCTACAATTTACATTTTTAATGGTTGGTGATTACCCCACTAGACTAACCAAACTTTATCTTTTTTTTTTAATTTTTATTAGTGAGACACCATGAGGTACAGTTGTTGTAGACTTACAAATTTTGTGCTTGGGTTTCAATTATACAATGATCAAATACATATCCCTCCACCAGTGCCCATTTCCCACCACCACGGATCCCAGTATCCCTCCCATCCAAACTTTATCTTTTTAAAGTTGATGTATGAACTCTTTTTACATATATAACTGAGAGGGATTTATTATGCCTCACTATTACACAACCAGCATTTCTATGTAGTTCCGAAACAACCTTCTGAGTTCGATGTCTAGCACCAGCCAAACAATTTAAAAAACATACTAAAACCTCCAAATTATTAGCATCCCCCCAAAGGAAACCCAATGCCCATTAAGCAACCAATCCCCATTCCTCCCACCCTCTAGCCCATGGCAACCACCAATCTTTTTTCTGACTCTATATATTTGAGTCTATGGTATTTGGATTATTTCACTTAGCATAATATAATTCTAGGGATTATGCTGGTTGCAACAGAACCAGCATAAGATTTTTTGTTTAAATAATTCCAGCATTTTTTGTTTTGTTTTGTTTAGGTAAGCAAGATAGTTTTTACTGAAACTGATTTAGAAAGATGTGAGGGGAGAAAAAGAGAAAAAACACAAGTTCAAGAGAGAACCTGGACCTCTCCAGAGTGGAAAAAGAAAAGATACACAGAAATAATCAAGCAAAATATGTGTTCAAGAGAGAACAAGGGCTTGAAGGGAAGGCCGAAACAGAACCATTTAAAGTGGAACTGAGATTCTATATTTCAACACCAACATGGAAATCTTTCTCATAGCATGTAATGAATCTACATCTGACCATATCCTCCATCTTAAAATGTCAGGTGAAAAATTTATTTTAGTCTGTAAAAGAAGAAAGGAAGGAATATATGGAAAACAGAATTTTTAAATGTGCATAAATTAAATAGCTATTTTGTACGTGGCTATAAACTTATTAGTTTGAAGAAAACTGTTTGTACACCCTACATTAATCACCTTTTTCTAATCAAGATCTATCCCTATTCCATTACTTCTCTCCTCACTGATGCTTCACCTTCCCACCAGTTTTATCCCCACAAATACATGGCTTATCAAAAAATGTTTAAATAAGATATTTTCTGACATGAATTATTAATATCCTAATGAATAATTTCATTTTAAACATCACTGATTTCCAAACTAACTCTCAAAACATTTATAAAAAATACTGAACATGGGAAACCATTTACTTTCATATACATTACTGGTATCAAATTTTTCTTACCTGAAATATTTTCTGCTTGTTTTTGAGGTTTTACAACAAGTTTCACACCCCCTCCAAAAACAGCAGCCCACATGCGATTATTTAGTGGGTGAGCTGCAAGTCGAAACAATTCATTGGAGGAATTGGTAGCGAGAGCATGTATCAGCAAACTTAAGTAAACGGCAACAACGGCCTCACACAACAGAATGTTCAGTTTAGGCTGGTCTTCATCTTGAGCTGAACTCAAGAGATTAATAAGTGAGCTCACACCTGTAAGGGTACATAATATTACAGTAAGTATATCAGTGTAACACTCCAAAGGGTGTATTTGTTGGGGGGGGGGGGAATATCCAAGTTTGCAAGTTATTAAAAATTAATGTATATATTAAGCAAAACACATGTCTTCATACTTTGAGCAATAACTAATAACAGGACTAGGTTGTAGTTCAACAGAGTAAAATAAGGATCCATTAGTCTTCAATAAATAGAAGGGGGAGGAGGAAAGGGTTCTTACAGTCAAGGTTCAACACACACAGAAAGACGCGTTCAGAAACTCAAGTCTTAAAAGACAAGGAAAGAGGAACTACTCCACTTTAATGACACATTACAAATAACTGACATGGGACATTGGGGGAGGGGACAACTGTGAGATCTGTGGACTAGAGAAGAGCACTGCATTGATATTAAGAGCTTGGATGCTCTTAAATCAATGAGGCTGGAGAGATAGTACGGCAGGTACAGTGTTTTCCTTGTAGGCCACTGACCCAGGTTTGATCCCCAGTATTTCCTGGTCCCCCATGAACTGCCAGGAAAAATTCTTGAGAGCAGAGTTAGAAGTAAGCCCTGAGCATCATTAGGTGTGGCCCAAATTCTCCCCCATCCCCCCAAAACGAGAGACTGAACATGACCATGTCACTCTAGTGATGCAGAGAATATTTATTTATAGGAAATATCTCTGATATATTAGACATAAAACCTCTAACTAACTCTAATTTTTTTTTAATTTTCATTAGTGAAACACCATGAGGTACATTTTAGACTTACAAATTTTTGTGCTTGGGTTTTAGTTATACAATGATCAAGTACCCATCCCTCCACCAGTGCCAATTCTCCACCACCACTGATCCCAGTATCCCTCCCAACCCCCCCGCCCCAGCCCACCCTGCCTCTGTGGCAGGGCATTCCCTTTTGCTCTCTCTCTCCTTTTGGGTGCTGTGGTTTGCAAAAGAGGCATTGAGTGGCAATCATGTTTGGTCTATAGTCTACTTTCAGCATGCATTTCCCATCCTGGGAGGATCCTCCCAACACCCTTTATTTGGTGCTCCCTTCTCTATCTGAGCTGCCTCTTCCCCCTAACGTGTGCGGCTAGCCTCCAAGCCATGGAGTAAACCCCCTGGTACTTATCTCGGGTATTCTTGAGTGTTAGTCTTCTATTTTGTTACTTTATGTTCCCCAGATGAATGCAATCTTTCTATGTCTGTCCCTCTCTTTCTGACTCACTTCACTTAGCATGATACTTTCCATGTAGTACCACTTGCATATAAATTTCATGACTTCATCTTTTCTAACAGCTACGTTGTACTCCATTGTGTAGATGTAACAAAGTTTCTTTAACCAGTCATCTGTTCTTGGGCATCCTTATGAAGGATTTTTAAACTTTTTTTTTTTTTTGGTTCTGCTCAACACAGCTGCTGAATGAAACTGGAACTTTCTGAATCTTCAGACAACGTGACAGAAATTTCTTAAGAATTCCTCCCTAATTCACAGGAAGCAGCATCATCAAAAATATACACCCTATACCAAATCCACAAAGAATAACAGTGAGGAAACCACTTAGCATCTTTTTCAAAATGTACTGTCTAAGGGTCAGGGGCAATGATCAGTAGCTGAGCTACTTACCTGTGTAGGCTTCTGGTTTTGATTCCCTGCACCACAAATTTTTTAATTAAAAACATTTTTAATTAGAAGCACATGCCTTGCATATAGATTCAATATCTGGTGCCACCAAAACAAACAAACAACAAAAGATTAAGGGGAAAAAGTCACTGAAAATTTTGTTGTTGTTCCATTTTGTTTAGGGGCCACACCCACTGTGTAAGCTCAGGACTTACTCCTGGCCGTGTGCACAGTGATCATTCCTAGCAGTGCTCCAGGACTCATGGGGTGCCAGGGATCAAACCAGGATTGGCTTCATGCAAGGCAAGCACCCATCCTGCTGTATTATCTCTCCAGTTCCCCCCAAACCACTTAGATTCTTACCAGGCCACTGGGCAGGAGAAGAATTTGGTGTTGCATGTTCTTCAATGCTTTCTGTCCTCAGTCTTCTTCGATCGCTTAAAAGAAGTCCTTGATAAGCCATTCCTGTAAACTGATTTCCTTCTGTGAGACTGCTAAAAAAAGAGGCTCAGTCAGTTATTATTCTAAAGGCAATGATAACAATTGTACTCTCTCTCTCTCTCTCTCTCTCTCTATCAATCTATCTATACACACACATACACACACACACACACACATACACACACACATATATATATTTGATGGTTTGGAGTTTTTAAAACTGAATATAGGGTAAGTGTATGGCTCAGTGGCAAAGTGCATGCTTTGTAAGTGTGAGACCTGGGTTTGATCCCCTACAGCAAAACAAAAAAACAAAACAAAACCCTGCTCTATTCTACTAACTGCACTATTCTAGGAAGTATTCACTTTATAAAGTTCTTAAAATTAGTTACAAATGCATAGTCATTTTTTAAAACAAAGTATCAAATTTAACTCCTTTAGGCAGTGTTTCAAAATCTTTTCCAGATGCCACTTAGTAATTTAAAATTTATTCTGTTGGCACCAATTTTTTAATGTCTTAGGTAAGGAAACTATTGTTGGTGTTAGGAAATATTAGGAAGTTTCAAAGTACTCTGTGTGTGTCTGTGTATGTGTGTGTCTCTAAGAATAGAACCTAGGGTTCTACTGGCAAGGCAAGAGTGCTCCTTAGTATATCCCTGGGCCTTAATATACTGTTTTGTGACTTTTCTTAAATTGTACAAGGTTGTTTAGGCTTGAAACATGAATTAAAATACCAACTAAACTGTAGAATCTGAAAATATGGCATAGAAAATGTCTAATTCTAAAGTAAAATACCCCTAAATAGTTATGTCCCTCTCCATAAGTAGCTATCTCTGGATTCACCCAAAGCAGAAGGTAAAGCTGGACTCCTGACAATCACAGCCTAAGAATGAGAAAATACACATTTAATTTTTTTCCATTTGTATTTTCACTTGGTCCCATTTTAGGCAGTGACTGAGAGCAAACAAGATCTCTTTGATCATGAAGGTGACCACAGTTGGGGCTGGAGAGAAGGATCAAAGAGCACATGCTTGACCCACAGGAAGTCTGGGTGTAGGCCATGCCTTCACATGCTCCCCTAGCACCAATGCCAGAACTGGCCCCAGAAAGCTTCCAAGTGTGACCAAAGTGACATGTGCACAGTCAACTATAACAGCCCCTTATTTTCACTACTTACGTTACCAAGCCTTTGAAATTACATATGTATGGCCTAATAAGACTAAATCAATATTATACTTACAATTTAAAATTTTAGACATATTGGGAGCTGGAGCAATCGTACAGTGGGCAGGATGCTTGCCTTGTATGTGGCCAACCTGGGTTTGATCCCAGCATCCCATATGACCCACTGAACCCTGTTAGGAATGATCCCTGAGCAGAGAGCCAGAAATAAGCCCTGAACACATCTGGGTATGAACCCTCTGGCCTTCCCCACTCCCCCCCACAAAAAAAACCCACATTATAAATTATTTGGGATAGTGAATATTTCTTAAAAGCAAAAGATGGTAATGATACTTATCACTTATTGTCATTTTCTCTATTTGTTCCTAGATTGGGCTGGAGCGATAGCACAGCAGGTAAGGTGTTTTCCTTGCACGCAGCCAACATGGCCGACCCGGGTTCGATTCCTCCGCCCCTCTCGGAGAGCCCAGCAAGCTACTGAGAGTATCTCGCCCGCACGGCAGAGCCTGGCAAGCTCCCCGTGACGTATCCGATATGCCAAACACAGTAACAACAAAGTCTCACGATGGAGATGTTACTGGGCCCGCTCGAGCAAATTGATGAAAAACGGGAGGACAGTGACAGTGACAGTGACAGTTCCTACAATACAGCTAATCTTGGATTTTACATTCTACCCACTAAAATATTCATGATAATGACAAGAGTGTCTTTCAGTTCCTAGGAAACAGAACCTCCATGTAAGTCTGGAACAGTTTCTATTCTTACTGCAATAATACTATTTGGGTTTGTTTTCTTACCTGTAGCTGTGACTGTCACATAATGCCTGGTAGATTGAGGCAGAAAGGGACGCTGCCAGTGAATGAAGTATGTGAACCTAAAACCAAAACAGCCACAATTATATTGTGCACTAACATTTCTACACAGTAGTTACTATCTTAAAAATTAGAAAATATCCAGGAAGCTAGAAATATCATGACTAGATTCTATACTGATGCTAGTATAGAAAGTACAAACTCTATGTTAAAGCTTCTAAAATAACAGTCACTTGACTTTACATGCATGCCCAGGACAAAGCTAACTGATTCAGACACATCTTCATTAAATATTTACTTACAATGAGCATATCATTTACCAGGCCCTGAGGAAAGTGCCAATGTTCCTATTAACTTGGACGGTCTTAGCCTGGTAAGAATCAGTTCAAAAATATTCTAAAAGAGCAGAACCAAAATTTTCAAAATGTATTCAACTGGCCTTATAAAATTTGCCTTGGTAAAGACAGGCTAGCCCACCTGGAGTGATTCCTGAGCACAGAGCCAAGAGTAAGCCCTGAGTACTGCCAGGTGTGTCCCCAAATAACTTTCTAAATAAATAAAACAGAGGCTAGATCTTATCAATAAGAATGAATTCAACCTCAACGAGTTAAATATGTTAATCACTGTGTTAAATGACTGATTTTCCAGAAAGCAAGTAACCTATTCTGGATGAGACATCTGGCGGGTTGGTAGAAGAGTAAATCTGGGGTTCCTCAGAGGAATGTAGTACCAAAATGTGCGCCTTTCAAACAAAAGGAAGAAAATAGTTTAAATGATGCATAAAGGGCACCAGCGCTTGTATGGGAAGAGGCACTGCACAAACACAGACCCAGAGTGATCGGCTCTCCAGAGCCAGCCAGCGGCTCACTAGCCTTTCTTGGAACCTATTAATGGTTAAGTTTTCAACAAAGGATATAGGATAATTTTCCATAGTCTCTCTACTAAGGCTCTGATTGACCCCAACAACCAAACGATATAACAAATACTGTATCAGAGAAATGATGATGAGAACACTTTCACAGGAGTGAGTTCGGGTTTTCTCAAAGATATTACTAGAACTCATATTTTTTTTTTTGCAGTCATTTTGGCACCAAAGTAAATAGTTATAAATATTTCTAATTTAAGGGGAATAGAAGAACAGAAGGAACTGAGTGGCACTGTCATTGAATGACAATGATATGACCCAGAAAATCAATTTCATTACCAAGAAAGTTTGCCTGACTGAAAAAAAGACAACTTTTCCAGAAGTAAGATGAACGGTAAGGATAACGGTATATTACATTCATTGGGCAAATCTATTTCGGAACTTATGGGAAGTGAGAAAGTACCAGATGAGAGTGTTTGAAAGATCAGAGGGACAGTACAGTGGGCAGGATGCTTGCCTTGCACACAGCCAACCCAGGTTCAATCCCTGGCACCCTGGATGGTCCCCCAAGCACTGCTAGGAGTAAGCCTGAGAAGCGCTGGGTGTGGCCCCAAAACTAAAACTATTTTTAAAAAATAGAGTACTTGAGGCATGCACCCAAACCAGTTTTGATCCCCAGCACCCCATATGGTCCCCTGAGCCCTGGCAGCTGTGATCCCTGAGCATGGAGCCAGGAGTAAGCCCTGTGCATTGCTGGGATATGGTCCCCCAAACAAAAATAAACAAGCAAAAAAAGGAGTACTTGAAAGGATCTCCTAGGAGCTCGAACTGGAAGACAAGGATAACTCATTTATGCTCTCAGTGTACAATAACAAAGAGTCACAAACTTTCATTACCTTCACATCTTTGACAGTGGGATGTGGCGGCGTTTTCATCTGAACAATGGTATAAAGTATATCGTGGATGTGGTTATTTAGGTACAACACGGGATTAGCGATGACTGTCTTGGTGGAGGCCACGCTTGCTGAGAGCAGGGGCAGGGTGGTGGGCAACGGCAGTGGAGACTGGAGCTGCTTCACCGTCGTTTCCTGTGGGGGACAGAGCCTTGTTTCGACCAAAGCACGTGATGGCGTGAAAGAGGAAGGAAACAAAACCAAACCAGCAGTGGCAAGATAAAAGTACTGGTGATGAACACTTGGAGAAAAGCATTACTGACAATGTACTTATTCACGCTGGGCACGGGAATCTGCAAACGCTACATTAGACAGACACACAAGCCCAGAGGGCTGAGCCCCAGGGTCCCCTCGGGGCTCTCAAGCTCTGAAACTTCCTCCTAACTGCCAAACTGCAGCCAACAAAGACCCATTCCAAGTCTAAGAATCTGACCACTCTGGGGAGTGAGCCAAACACACTTAAATTAAGTTGTCAAAAAAAAAAAGATTAAGTAGACTAATATGCTTTTAATATGAGACTAAATATGCTTTCCACATAAGACTAAATATGCTTTTTTAAAAAATGTTTTTGGGCCACATCCAGCAATGCTCAGGGGTCACTCCTGGCTCTGTGCTCAGGAGTCACTCCTGGTGGTGTGTGGGGGACCATATGGGATGCCAGGGATTGAACCCCCAGGTCAGCTGCATCCAGGGCAAATGCCTTCCCCACTGTGCTGTCACTCCAATCCTGAAGCAAATATGCTTTAAACTATAGCTATGAAGTGGAAGAACTACTAAAGCTACTTAAAAAAAAAATGACCAAGACTGAGACTGGCATGATAACTCAATGAGCTGAGCACATGCTTTGCAGGTAGGAGCCTGGACTCACTCCCAACGCACCAGGTGACGCCCCTCCCAACACCAACAGGAGCGACCCCTGAGCACAGAACCAGGAGCATACCCCAAGTACTGCAGGATATGGCTCCCAGACAAAACAAAACAACAACAACAAAAAGAATAAAAAGACCAAGACTGAAAAGAAAATTGAGCTCGTACCTGCTGTGATTCTTGTAACAGAAACTTGAGTTCCATTCTCACCGAGGCCAGACCGCCACCCTGGGCCCCATGCAGGCTACAGTAGCTCAGAAACACTCGCAAGAGATCCTGGTTCTTCTGCAACCATAACTTCCGCTTCTCGGCATGCTCCCGTTTGGCCTGCAGCCTCCGCCGTTCTATCTGGTGCCGCTCATAGGAACCGACGTCCGGCTTGTCCACCACTTCCTCCCGCTCCAGGAGCTCGCTCTCCGCTTGGGAGTATGCTTTACTCGCATACTCTTTCATGACCGACTCGTGATTACAAATCTCATGTAAGGCCGCGATCTCCTTTTCCAGCCAGTTGTAGAGCTGAAATCGGAGCTTCCCTCCGTCCACTTCATACCCCGTGGCCAGTGTCCTCAGCTCTGTCATAAGGATCTTTAAGCAAGCTCTGAATTTCAGCTGCTCCGCAATGACGTCAACTTCGGTGTCACCTTCGGGCAAGTCCTCGTCCTGAGGTGTCTGTAACAGGTTCGGGTCTGAGGCTTGCTTTCCTCCTGGCCTCCCCGCCCCGGCATCTGTACTTCTCTTGACAGTGTCGCTGGTACCTTCTTCCTCTTCCTCTAAGGCACTATCATGCTCGTCACCCCAATCAAGCTGAAGAGGTTCCTCCTCCACTTTTATTGCCGGCTGACTCCAGTCGAACTGGGACGAGGTGACGGCTGACCAGTCAGTGGCAGCACCCGTGCGCCCATCACTCTGAGTCTTCGAGACTGCGGGCGCATCCCCCATCTTTTTAGAAACGAAGCCGGGCTGGTCTTTTTTTGCAGCTGAGGTGGATTTTATGGTGACTTTTGGGATCTTGGAAAGAACCTCCAAGGCCAGAACAGGGCACCCAACCTTAAAGTGAGCATTTGCAGTGGTGAAGAATAGTTTTCTCTCTATGAGGTTGATTTTATCCACATAGCTTTTCTCCGTTTTCAGGCCTAAGGTTGCCAGCGTGCCTTCCGGGGAGGCGAGGTTTCGGCGAATGATCAAGGGGTGAGTTCGAAGATAGTTGTAGAAGCTGAACACCACAGGGTTGCAAGCCTTGATTATCACTACAGAAACCAAATGGAAAAGTCCCAAGGCATTCTGTTAATCTGCACTTACATTAAGAAAAAATAAAATGCCAAAATTTCCTCCAAATAAAGGACACGTTAAGATCAACCTAAAACAAAGAGTCTGGGAGGTGTTCAAGTCACAGAGCACACGCCTACCATGCACGAGGCCCCGGGTTCAGACCCAAGCACCCACAACCCACTGAAAGGCTCTGGCCCTGGGAACCCCAAGTGCCACCAAATCTGAGAACTGCTGAAAACATGAAAAAGGCCCTATAAAAAAAATGCTAAGTCGGGGCTGGAGTGAAAGTACAGTGGATAGGGCATTTGCCTTGCATGTGGCCGACCTGGGTTTGAGTCCCAGCATCCCATATGGTCCCCTGAGCACCGTCAGGAGTAACTCCTGAGTGCAGAGCCAAGAGTAACCCCTGTGCATTGCCGGGTGTAACCAAAAAAGCAAAAAAAAAAAAAAAACCGCTAAGTAGGGGCTAGTGGATCCTATAGTACAGAGGTGAGGGGAAACACACCTGATAGGTATCCAGGCAGCACTGCAGGCCCAGTGGGTCACAAATCACCAGTGGGACCCAGGACTTCCTGATGCACTACTTGGAAGCTCCCTCTCTCCCCAAAAAATAAACAACTAAAAATATATGTAAGGCTAAAAAATTATCATTAAAGAAGTACAGAATGTAAGGTAGAAGTTTATTATCTCTCCAGTCTTATTCTAAAAATAATGTAACCATAGCTATAATTTAGTCTTGTAATGTGTATCAGAAAACAACAAAGGCGTGAGGGAGAGAGAGAGAGAGAGAACAGTATATGTGCACATGTATACATGCGTGACATATATGTGCAAAATGCCCCAAGACGCACTGTTCTATACTTAAAAATTCATATTACATTATACACTATGCTAACACATTTGGTCTGCCACACATTTTAATGCACACTATTTCTGGAGTATGGATACCTAAGAATTCATTTAACTATTAGGGCTGGAACGAAAGCACAGCCGTAGGGCATTTGCCTTGCACGCGGCCGACCTGGGTTCAATTCCTGCGTCCCTCTCAGAGAGCCTGGCAAGCTACCAAGAGTATCCCGCCCACACGGCAGAGCCTGGCAAGCTATCCGGCATATTTGATATGCCAAAAACAGTAACATCAAGTTTCACAATGGAGAGGTTACTGGTGCCCGCTCAAGCAAATCAATGAACAATGGGAGGACAGTGCCATTTACTGGAAAAAAAATAGAATGTTTAGTTTTTTAAAATTCTTGGAAACAATGCTGATAAATTAGCATTCAAAACATCTAAATTACTCGGGTGCTTCAAAGATCCAAATTTTGGGGGAAAACTAAGAGCAAAAAAAGTTTAACATACATGAACAGATTTCCCTGGCTCCCACACTAAACCATGAGTATAACAGCCAAAATTTTTATTTGGGCCGGGAGGGACGGGGAATGGAGGCCAGAGAGAAAGGACAGGGATTGAGGCAACTGCCTCGCATGCAACCAATTCTGGTTTTACCCCAGAGACCACACACGCCTCCCCGAGCACTTCCAGGGGTGATCCCTGAGCACAGCTCTGTGTGACTCATACCCTCCTCCCGGCATGTGCCAGAAGATGGCTAAGTGATTATACAGGAAGAGCTTCACAGTGCAGAGATATTCTGTACTCTCAAGTTCAAAATACACAAAATGAGAATAGAACTATAATTCGATTCTAATGACCCTGGGTCTAAATCTGTAAGTGTGAAAATGTGTGTGATCTTAATACTACTCAGATACTGCTCAAATCACGGTAGAGTCTATTACTCACCCTTTAGTCACACGGAAATGTGGGCAAAAACTTCTCAAAACTGAAAACTGAAAGTCTGACAATGATTTTGGGTGGGTAGTGTGGTGGCTGTGCTGAAGCAATAGCACAGCGGGTAGGGCCCTGCACGCAGCAGACCCAGGTTCGATTACTCCATCCCTCTCAGAGAGCCTGGCAAGCTACCAAGAGTATCCCACCGCCACGGCAGAGCCTGGCAAGCTACCCGTGGCGTATTCAATATGCCAAAACCAGTAACAAGTCTCACAATAGAGACATTACTGGTGCCCGCTCGAGCAAATGGATGAATAATCAGAGGACAGTGCCACAGTGTGGTGGCTATGGTGGGGTGTGTGGGGGGTTGTATGTGTGCGTGCGTGCATGTAGGTGGGGAGGGTGTTTCTCATCTGCATGAACACTAACTCAGAAACTGTCTTCAGGAATAGAAGCACCTTGATGTTCGTCCTCCTCCTTTGGTGTCTGTTCCAATAAGGTATCCAAGGCTCGGGTGTAATCCTTCATTACCCAGTAGGCAAGGCTACGCAGGAAAGGGTCAGGGTGTAGTCTACTGCAGTCAAATCCCGAGCCATCCTTTGCACAACCCAAAATCTTCTGGTTTAGGATGGATATATAAGTGGATGAAGTCTCGAATTCAGATTCATATAAACGGGCAATAATCATGGCCAGCTGAATATCTTCCATTTTTTCAAGACATACCTGGAAATAGGCAAATTAGCATTGCATAGTTAACATTTTTATAATCAACTTTTAATTGGGTTTACGTAAATATTCATGGTAGTTATGTACAAGGACTGGAGAGATAGCACAGCAGGTAGACGTTTGCTTGCACGCGGCTGACAAGGGTTCAATTCCTCTGCCCCTCTCAGAGAGTCCGGCAAGCTACTGAGAGTATCCCACCCACAAGGCAGAGTCTGGCAAGCTCCCCCTGGTGTATTTGATATGCCAAAAGCAGTAACAACAAGTCTCACAACGGAGACGTTACTGGTGCCCGCTCGAACAAATCGATAAACAACGGGAGGACCGTGCACAGTGCTACGGTTATGTACAAAGTTACTGCACCCACCACTACAAAATGACCAGGACCCTCCATCAATGTCCCTGTATCACCTCTGGCCCAATCTTCATTCCCTCCACAACTGCTTGGTCATCTCAGTTTTATAACCCACGACCAAGTGTTAGGGTAACAAATTACTTAGATATGATATTGCACTAATATCAGTATCTAAATTCTCAACCATATTTTCATAGTGGGTGGGGCTTCATGAGGCTGATGGGTAGTTACATGATCATAGATTTTAGAACAGCAAGAAGAGGGGGTAGAGAGATAGTACAGCAGGTAAGGTACTTGTCTTGTATGCATCTGACACAGTACCAGCAGATGTGGCCCAAACTCCCCCCGCCAAAAAAAATTCACAATATGCTATTTTTAAATGGCAAGAAGAATTTTAGTATGTATATATAAAGGTAACTTACAAAATATGCATAAAGCAAGGTATATATCAGTATCCTCTCATAATTTAGTTCTGGAATCAGCTTCAACCAATGACTTTTGATTTTAAATCAGATACCACATGTGTCCATATGAGCGTAACTATTTACGTAGAAATCAGATGGACTGGACACATAATGAGATTTGGAGACAACTGCTGGACTAGAGCCATTACTGACTGGATTCCACGGGACATCAAAAGATCACGTGGCTGCCCACCTACGAGATGGTCAGACTTCTTCGTCAAGACCCTGAACGATCAACTTGAGGCTCTTCGGGTTCCTGGAGCGAGCAGACGCCATTGGGCTACACTACCATGTGACAGGGATGAACGGAGATGTTACTGGCGCCCAAGCAAGTCGATGAGTAATGGGATGTCAAGTGATCAAGTGATTTACATAGAAAATAACGTATGAAATAAGGTTGAATATCCTGTTTTTATTCTCTGAGTTTATCATATAACTATTCTGGAGACTACATTGAAAATTTGAGATTATTTAGGCAATAGAGGTATATTTCAATCAAATAAAGGTATATTTCGATCAAAATTACTCTTGTCTCAGGCCAGAGAGAGAGTACAAAAGCTGCACTGCATGCGGCTGACCTGGGTTTGATCCCCAACATCCCATATAGCTCCCGAAGCTCCTCTAGTATACCCAGTGGTATTCAGTAGTAACCCCTGAATACCACTGAGTGTGGCCCAAGACAGCAACAAAATTTCTCATGTCTGAAGATCTTCTAGGCTAAATTTCCCACTTCCAATTATAAACATCCATTATTTTAAAAATCCATACACCTGAGGGTCTGGAGCGATAGCACAGCGGGTAGGGCATTTGCCTTGCATGCGGTGGACCCGGGTTCAAATCCCAGCATCCCATATGGTCTCCTGAGCACTGCCAGGAGTAATTCCTGAGCTCAGAGCCAGGAGTAACCCCTAAGCATCGCCAGGTGTGACCCAAAAAGAAAAAGAAAACACCAAAAAAATGCATACACCTGAGATAATTTTGAAAAGATAATTCCAAAGCACTTTATAGTATACTTACACTTTTTCTCCTATAATACATTGTTTCCAATTCTATTTTTAATTCAAGGTTGTTGCTCTTAATGATACTTATATATCCTATGAAGAAGATAACCTGAATAATTAGCAACATTTATAATTACTTTTCGGCCTGCCCCGAGCAGAGCCCCAGCAGCTAAGAACCTCCGGAGCCAGCCATGGTCATGCTGCGACCACTCTCCACACGTCCGGATGGGCCTCATGCATGAAAGAACTGGCAGAGGAACCCAGGCATGCGGGTCCCGGGGCTGAGGTCTCCAAGCCTACTCGGATTGGGACTGGGCCTTCTCCACCCAGACCCCCCCATCTTCCAGTAGGTAGGCGTCACACCCACCAGCTGCCGCCAGCGCCAGGTTGGTCCCATCAACGGCCAAGACTCAGAGACTATAAAATCCAGCTCCCGGAAGCGCGCGGCCACGACATCTTATTATCTTTCCTTTGGAGAACCTTGCAGGCTACAAAAAGTATCCTGCCCGCACGGCAGAGTCTGGCAAACTTCCCGTGTCGTACTCAATATGCCAAATACCAGTAACAATGATGGGTCTCATCCTCCTAATCCTGAAAGAGCATTGGAATGGCTCTTTTCAAATCTCGGGGCTAGCTAGAAGAAGACGTTACTGGTGCCTGCTCGAGACAATAGACGAACAACAGGATAATCGTGATCATGATAATTACTTTCTTACTCAACAGCCAAAATTTCTACAACAAAAATGCCATTTTGAAGGGCTGGAGAGAATAAAGCAGGTGCTCTTGGCTTTCCTGGCCTTGCCACATTGAAGACAACCCAATTCAATCCCCAGCACCACATATGGTCCCCCAAGCACCAGGAGTGATCCTTGAGCACAGAGCCAGGAGTAACCCCTGAGCATTATCAACAGAGTCCCCAGCAAAAGGTATTTAAAAAAAATTCTCTTCACATTCTACTTCCAATGTCTAAGACAACTACAGTACAAAGTAAAATGTTTCAGTTCTTAATCTGTAAATCCACTTAAAAAATAAAGGATTTACTATGTTAAAGAGGAGAGTTAAGAATGAAGAGATGACCAGAAAGAAAACCAGAAGTCATCTTTTGCCGTTTCTCATACATTTAAACTTGAAGAGTACAGCACATCTTATCTGGAAAGCAACATTCACTACAAGAAATTTTTCAGGGACTGGAAAGATGGCAGAGTGGGTAAGACGCTTGTCTTGCATGTGACCGACACAGATTTGAATCCCTGGCATCACATATGGTTCCCTCAGCCTTGCCAGGAGTAATCCCTAAGTACACAGCCAGGAATAACCCCTAAGCACTGCCAAGTGTTGCCTAAAAATATATATATATACATGTATATATATATATATATATATTTTTTTTTAGGGGCTGGAGTGATAGCACAGAGGGGAGGGCATTTGCCCTGCACGTGGCCAACCTGGGTTCGATTCCCAGCATCCCATATGGCCCCCTGAGCACCACCAGGGGTGATTCCTGGGTGCAGAGTCAGGAGTAACCCCTGTGAATCGCTTGAGTGTGATCCAAAAAGAAAAAAAAATCTTTTAAAATTTACATTTCTATCTTCATCTTACTTAGAAAGTAAACAAATATTTTATTTTATTTTTTTAATATTTCTTTTTTTTAATTATTTTTTTTAATAGTGAGACATCATGAGGTACAGTTGTAGACTTCCACATTTTTGTGCTTGGGTTTTGATTATACAATGATCAAACACCCATCCCTCCACCAGTGCGCATTTCCCACCACCTTGGATCCCAGCATCCCCTCCCCCCCCAGCCCCTATCCCACCCTGCCTCTGTGGCAGGGCATTTCCCTCTCTCTCCTTTTGAGTGCCATGGTCAGCAAAAGAGGCATTGAGTGGCAATCATGCTTGGTCGACAGTCTACCCTCAGCATGCTCTCCCATCATGGGCGGATCCTCCCAACACCCTTTATTTGGTGTTCCCTTCTCTTTCTGAGCTCCCCCTTCCCCTAACATGTGTGGTTGTCCTCCGGGTCATTGAGTAAAATTCCTGGTACTAATCTCTGCCATACTTGGGTGTTAGTTTCCTATTTTGTTACTTTATGTTCCCCAGATGAATGCAATCTTTCTATGTCTATCCCTTTCTTTCTGAGTCATTTCGCTTAACATGATACTTTCCATGTAGTACCACTTGTATGTAAACTTCATGACTTCGTCTTTCCTAACAGCTACATAGTACTCCATTGTGTAAATGTGCCAGAGTTTCTTCAACCAGTCATCTGTTCTCGGGCACTCAGGCTTTTTCCAGATTCTGGCTATTGTAAAGAGTGCTGCATTAAACAGACAATTGCAGATGTCACTTCGGCTATACTTTTTTGCCTCTCTGGGATATATTCCCAGGAGTGGTATTGCTGGGTCAAATGGGAGCTCAATTTCTAGTTTTTTGAGAATCATTCATGCTGTTTTCCAAAAGGACTGAACAAGTCGGCATTCCCACCAACAGTGAAGGAATGTCCCTTTCTCACCACATCCGCGCCAGCACCGGTTGCCTTTAGTAAACAAATATTTTAAAGCTCAGTGATTTGTTACTCTCTATCCTTACAAACAAACTACAAACTTCACATTCTTTTCAGGCTTCCCACCTCTTACAAGTAATTCCTGGCATGCTTTTTTATACCTCAATGGCATCTTTCAGTGAACCTGCTAACAAGAAGAATGCAGCCGACTGTTCAAAGCGCTGTTTTCCAAGTAAAGCGAAAGCATTTTTCAAAGCAGCCTTGCGCCATCGATCTTCATTAAAGTTGTGGCTGAAAAACGTTGTCATTTTTTCATCATGCTGTGACCTTGGAACCAGAACACAGACATCAATTGTTAAACCAAATTTAAAATATCTTGACTACTTCATAAAAAAATAGATGAAAGTATAAATGAAAAGCTCACATAAAAGTAAAGTAAAGGCCCTCCCGTTGATCATCGATTTGCTCGAGCGGGCCCAGTAACGTCTCCATTGGAGACTTTGTTGTTACCGTGTTTGGCATATCGAATACGTCACGGGGAGCTTGCCAGGCTCTGTCATGCAGGCGAGGTACTCTCGGTAGCTTACCGGGCTCTCCGAGAGGGGTGGAGGAATCGAACTCGGGTCGGCCATGTTGGCTGCGTGCAAGGCAAACGCCCTACCGCTGTGCTATCGCTCCAGCTCACATGAAAAGCTCACATGACTATCTAAAATATGTCAGTGACAATGTATTTCTTTTTAAAAATTTATTTCTGGGCCACATCCAGCAGTACTCAGGGCTAATTCTTGGCTCTGTGCTCAGGAATCACTGCTGGTAGGACACCAGAGGACCGTATGGGATGCTAGAGGTGGATGTGGGTCTCCCACATGCAAAGCAAATGCCCTGCGTTTATAAACAATATTCCACTCTTTGAGGGCTGGAGCAATAGCACAGCGGGTTGGGCATTTGCCTTGCATGCAGCCGTCCTGGGTTTGATTCCCAGCATCCCATATGCTCCCCTGAGCACTGCCAGGAGTAATTCCTGAGTGCAGAGCCAGCAGTAACCCCTGTGCATCGCTGGGTGTGATTCAAAAAGAAAAAAAAGAAAAGAAATCCACTCTTTGGGTTAAACTGAAATACTCTTTTGCTTATTTCTTGTAAATAACAGAACCAAAACACAATTAAGCTGATTTGGGGCCAGGGAGAGAGCTCACGGGGCTGGAGTGCATAATTTGCATGCAGAATCCCTGGGTTGTATCCCCAGCACTGCACAGAACCCCAAACACATGGAGAGAAATTCCCTGAGCACTGTCTTGGGAGTAGCCCCCAAGTACCACTGGGAGGGGCTGAGAAAAAAAGGGGGGATGGGAAAGCTGATTTGATTAAGTTTGTTGCTTTCAAAAGATTAGATTTCTACTTTGCAGCACCATTTTCATTCTGTTAATTCAGGTTAAATGTTGGACCAGAGAGACAGTTCAGGGGATAAGGTGCTTACCTGCCTTGCACGTGGCTAACGCCAGTTCCATCCCTGGCACCACATGGTTCTCTGAACCCTGCTGGGAGCAAACCCCTCCCTAACAAAGAGCCTGAAGGAACCTCCAAGCAGCACTGGGTGTGCCCAAACTTCCCACAAGAGCATAGAGGGGCCATTTACCTAAACAGACCCCACACTACCGCTTTCTTCTTCATAGAAAGGTAGAATAACGCAGCATCCAAGGCATCATTGTTCCTTTGAAAAGAAGCTTTGGCAACCTACAAGGTAAACAAAATATTACATGAATTATTGGACAAAAGAATGACAACAGATTATTCCACAATTTATACTTTCCTGTTATTACCAACACCTTTCATTCATCTTACTGAATCAGCAGAACCCAGGAGCTACTAGTAATAACCTCTTTTTACATCTGAAGTGATGGTGACAGAGAGTGAGTGTACTATTTAAGCTATCCGCTAATAAGGGTCCATCTCACAGTGATTCAGTTAAAAATTTTACCAAAAAAAAATCCACCTGCTAAGAGGAAACAGGGAACTGGAGCCCAGGGAGCAACCAAATTATTTTACCAAAGATGAAATCCTGCCATTATCAACAGTAAGAATAGACCCTGAACCTGCTTGGGATAGGAGATGCATGCTGGAACCCGGCTGTAGACCCGACATGCATGTGTGCATATATGTATTGTGATATATGCATATATACACATATGTATATATGTTTATATACATGGATATATATGTTTAAGTGCACATCAATCAAAACTTTTTACTGAATGGGTGTGCAAAGGGCATTGGATATCACTAATCTAGTAATACAATCAATTTTTAAATAAAAAGAAATGACTTCTCTATGTAATAAATGGGCTGGAGCGATAGCACAGCGGTAGGGCGTTTGCCTTGCATGCAGCCAACGTGGCCGACCCGAGTTCGATTCCTCCGCCCCTCTCGGAGAGCCCGGTAAGCTACCGAGAGTATCTCTCGCCCGCATGGTCAAGCCTGGCAAGCTCCCCGTGACGTATTCGATATGCCAAACACAGTAACAACAAAGTCTCCAATGGAGACGTTACTGGGCCCACTCAAGCAAATCGATGAACAATGGGAGGACAGTGACAGTGACAGTAATGTAATAAATATCACTGACAGGAACTTAAGTTTACTTTCTAGATTTAGATTTTTTTCACTTAAACTAGAACTTATACACCTCAACTGGTAAAAATTAATGCTATTTTCATAAAAAGATTACAAGCTTGGTTTACTTTACAAAAGTTAACGAATGTACTGTGTGGGTATTTCATAAAGGTCAGTTTCGGAATCTTAAATATTTGTATAAGAAATTCTGAATATCTTAAGATGCAGTATAAACAATACCCCACAAAGGAAAGGTTTCCTGGAACACATTATCTTTTATCTTTCAAAAAAATACTTTTTTCCTCCACCCTAACTTCAAAACTTAATGACATTGTGGGGCCAGAGCAACAGGACAGCAGATAGGGCATTTGCCTTGCACATGGCCAACCCGGGTTCAATCCCCGACATCCCATATGGTTCCCCAAGAACTACCAGGAGTAATTTATGAGTGCAGAGCCAGGAATAAACTCTGTGAATCATTGGGTGTAACTGACCTCCCTCCAAAAAAAAAGAGTTAAAGACATTACCTTTTCCATGCATCGCCGAAGTGTATTAATATTCCTGACCCACCAACCTATTCCCATAGCTCTTAACTCAGACCACTGAGGGTCTCCTCTCTGAATTGCTGGAATTCTATTAATCAGTTCTTCTTCAGCCTCAGAATGAAAAGCCCAGGCAAAATGGCAAGTAGACACACCTAAATAGGGGATATAAAACAATAACTTCAGGACAACATCAAACAAAAAAAAGCACAAAACAATTCTTTACACGGTCAGTTATCCATTAGTGCTGGAAAGAGCTTTCAAGCAGAAAAAAAGGAGGATCAAAGGGAAAACTGTCATCATTCATGATTTTATAAACTTCAAAGATCCCAAATCAGTAAAGATATACAAAACCAAAATCTCTTTCTCCCAGATATAGTTGCTTTTTGATTCTGCAAAAAGACACCAAAACTTAATGCCAGAAAGACTCGTACCTACTCAGACCAAACATCAATGGTGAAAGCACTGATCAAGTAAAACTATCTTAAGCCCACCTGGTGGGTGGCACAGGATCCCGGAACCAGCATCTTCAGCCCATACTCACAGTACATTGTAAATGTCCAAGAAAGTTCCATGATAAAAGTCCCTTGGCTTAAAAATAATTTAGATGACCCGTGAACAACTCAAGGCCTTAAGAGGCACTGGCCTCCATATATCCCTCCATACTGAAACATCCAGGCCGAGAACATCAGAACTCCTCAGCCTTCCCATGGTATCTGTGAGAGATTAATTTCAAGTTCCTCCCCATACCCAAATTTGTGCTTTCTTAAAGTAACTTCTAGTCAGCCAACATGTTCCGCATCTGTGAATGCAGAACCTTCGGGCAGGAAGAAGAGGGGAAAGCAGGAAGAATAAGATGCTGGAGGGAGAGTATAGTAGGTAGAGCATTTGCCTTACATGCAGCCAACCCGGTTCAATCCCCAGCACCCCATTTGGTCCCCCAAGCACCACACCAGGAGTGAGCCCTGACTGTGAGACAGGACTAAGCCTGAAGCATCGCTGGGTGTAGCCCTAAGACAAAAGGAAAAAAAACATCATTCCACAAATATTGTTCAAGGGTCAGCTGGGTCAGCTGTCTGGTGTCCAGTAAGACCTATTATGTCAATACCTTGATGAAGTAGCTGGACTCGGTATAGAGGAGGTAGTGAGGTCAAAAGGCAGGTGTGCAGGCGCATCGCGAGCAAGTATCTCAGACCACACTCATCCAGCGTGTCTCTCCCTGCAACGGAAACGGAAAATGTGTTAAAGCAAAGGGAGTCTAATGAGTCACACACCAATAAAGGAGTCAGAAAGGATACAGTGCATTTGGCATCATCATTTTCACAGAACATGTAGGATATTTTAGCATACTGCTGCAGGAACACTTTAATATCTAGAGATATGGGCCAATGGCAGAGCACATGCCCTGCATATGTGTGTGTGGGTGTGTGTGTGTGAGAGAGAGAGAGAGAGAGAGAGAGAGAGAGAGAGAGAGACCCTAGGTTCAACCCTGCATACCCCCCCAAAAAGAAAAAGTTTGCACATATGAATGTAAACACTAAAACTCATGTATGAAAAAAAGATATTGTGGCTAATATCAGCATAGGTAACATTATATTTATATACTGTAATAAATGAAAATGAAAATCTCTTGAGATTCTAGTTAAAATCAATTCACTAAAGTGAATTCATAACACATGATCCTAGAGCATGACGGGGAGGAGCTCTGGATGACCATGAACCACCACTGGGCATGGTCCTAGAGGCCCCTGGGTACCACCAGAGTGGCCCAAGTAATCCCCAGCACCATATTCACTGCCCCAGTAAATCAAAAATAGCTGGATGTGGCCCCGGGGAGGACGTCCCCAAACCCCCCCCCCACACACACATACAACCTAGAAACATGAACAAATTTGAACTATAAGATTGCTCTAAGTCTCCTGGTCCTAGTAAAATTAACAACTGGTTGATTATCACTCAAAGTGAAAAAATAAAATGAATCACAGGAATAAATCTGTTTGAAAAGGTGGAAGCCTATATATCTAAAAGCAGGTGAAAGTTTGTGCTGAAAACACACGTGAGAATGAAGATAGCACAAATCCACGGAGCTACCTGTGAACTCAGAGTCACCCCAACTTTTTCTTAACAACTCAGGCATACTGTGTCTCTGTAACTGTCTGTGGAGGAATTTACCTGAGGAGCTCTTGTCTCTGCTTTCATCAAGTTCTGTATTGGTAGTCGCCACAGTATCGGCCAAGGCTACGAGAAACATCTGCTCCAAACGGGTGAGGCCAGGCAGACTTGAGTGCATAAGATGACTTGAAAGGACCCTGGCGTGTTCCTGGCCAAAGTATGAAGGTCCATATTGAGAAAGATTGATGACTTTCGATTTGCTTTCTCTCTTTTCTGGCTCTAGATCAATATCATCCGTTGTTATGTCCTGGATTTGGAACAGTTCTGAGTACTGATCCTCTGGTTCGCCTTTGGTATGATCATCAAAGCTCTGCGGGACTTTCGTACTTTCTTCTGAAACCCGGTAGGTTGTGTCCTGATCCGCAGCAAGCAGGGCATACAGCGGAAGGGGAGGGATGGAATCGATCTCAGTATAATCTCGAGTACCATCTTTCCCTATGGTAACTGTGTCCTTGGCTGTACTGCCGCTGACACTGATGGTTCTAGAAAGGTGCCGCTTGGTGCCTTCACCAGCATCAGGGTCTCGAACGATGGCAACTTCACCTGCGATGCACTTCACTAAATGTGAGAGAATAGCTTTCGCCCTTCTGACTCTCCCTAGATCCATCAATTCCAGCAGCTGAGTCGGGTGATACTGTGGAAGGGTTGGGGAAAGGATGTGGGCAGCCTCAAACAAGCCACCATCCTGAACGATGGTTGGTGAGCAAAACACGTCATCGGTCGTGGCTGTTCCTTCCATGATACTTTTCCTGGACAACAGATTTGCCTTAAAGGCCGAGTGATCGTGTCCTCCCATTTCTTCTGGATCAGGACTGTCAGCCTCAGGGTCGGCAGACTTGACAGCATGCTTCCACTGGGCATACACGTGCATCTCACAGTCCATGCCCACCACCAATATCCCATCCCGTACCCAAGAGAGAGAGGCAGGCAGCGAAGGTGTGCCGTCCACAGAAGATACTAAGTCTATAGATCTCAGAAGAAACCATCTTGACCTAACTCCTTGCTTGATGCTACCACACAGTGGTAAAGTAATGAAAGCCACACCATCCTTACTGTTGGTCTGCTCGGTCACGATGCCCGAAAGCCGCCCGTACATGAAGATATTAGCACCGACCCCGACTGTGAGAATGTGGGAACCGTCTTCTTTGGACACCCAGTCCAGATGGACTAAATGCTTGATGTTTGAAGTAAGGTACCTGTCGCTGCTCAAAAGTGCATCTGTTTTGCTGTACACAAACAAGTTGCTATCAACACTGACCCTTGAATCAAGGACACTCCCAACTTTGACCAGATCATCAAGGTGGATCGTTTGTTCTAGAACCCACTCGGACCCTCCTGTAGATTCACATTCAAATATGCAAACGTGCATAGAAAACTCTTTGGAGACAAAACCGTTGTGCTGAACGGGCTGCTTGTAAGCCACAGCAAGGCGACCTGTGTATGAGCAGCTCACAGCCACTGGGCGTCCCACGATGCTCACAGTACTGCTATTGTCTTCGCCTTCATCGTTCATCAAGGGCCACCGCCTCCAGTGATAGGTTTCCTTCTCACTGCTCTTACTCTCTGGGTTGGTTTCCATGCTGCATCTCCAGAAGCGGACTTTATTGTCAGAACAAGTCGTGACCACTAAGTAAGGTGCCAGGCACACTGGATAGATTGAAGAGGAACTCAGATGCCCTGAACAAAGAAAGAGCAAAGCATCAATATCAGAACCACACAATGACCTGTCAATGTTCTAGAACATATTACAAGGTCCAGAGCAATAGTACAGCAGGGAGGATGTTAGCATTCCATGCGGACGACCCAGGCTCGATCCCAGAATCCCATATGGTCTATGGAGCACCAATAGGAGTAATTCCTGAGTGTAGACACAGGAGTAACCCCTGAGCATCATGAGGTATCACACACACACACACACACACACACACACACACAAAGATAATGATACATCTGATATAAATGTATAGTTATTGTAATAAATTATTGTGAACAACTTCATAAAATTAAATTAAAAGATTCAAGAGAACATGATACATCCAGAGCAATGATGACACAATTAACTGGTTCTTCAGAATAAGCCAAATTCTCCTCCCTAATTTTTGTATACATTGTGTCCAATGACCCATATATCCCTAAAAGTCTAAAATAATCCTCTGATGAAATAAAAATGTGCAATAATAACCACCCTTTTTTGTAATTAACTTTAAGGTGTGCTACTTAAAATAAAACCCAAAAGCAATTAAATAAGTCAATCCTTTATAAAGCTGCCCACTGAGATATTTTACATTTTCCTTGACCACACATGCTTCACTGGTCTTTCATTTCTATATATTTTTCCCCCTTTCATTTCTGTTTTGTTTTTAGGCCATGCCCGGCAGTGCTCAGGGCTTACTCCTGGCTCTTCGCTCAGGGATCACTGCTGGTAGTGCTCAGGGGACCTTATAGGGTGGCAGGGATCAAATCTGAGTCAGTCACATGCAAGGAAAGTCATCTCTGTACCCTCCCTTTCATCCTTAAGCAGTCATTACAATTCACCTTCAACGACTCTAACCTGTCCTTAAATAATCCAGACTACAGACTCACCCCTCCCATCAGAATATTTTCAGAAAGCTAAACAGATCTCTAGAGCCTAGATTTTTTTGGGTAACCAGGTTTAATTGATGCTCTCTTAATACTGAAACAGAATTCTCATATATATTCTTCACCACCAAAGGTTAATGCTGCTCGTCTGTTGTCAAGAGATAGGGAATAATGCCAACAGAAGTAAGATATGAGGTTGGTTACAAGACTTATTTTCAAGTTCCACCAAGATTTTTGCAACAGGAGGCAAATCATTTAAGACAACTGAGTCTGTCACATCTAAAAAACAAGGATGGTGTTGCTATTTTCCTTGAGTGTTACTGACACATAAGGCACAGGAAAGGAATTTTATAAAACCCCTGCAAAATTTAATTCATCATTCTCAATTCCCCATAAAATACTCTTGAGACTACCTCAAAATAAACCTTCCAAATATTGTACAAGATTTAAAAAAACTGGCCTAGAGCTACACCTCACACAAAAGCCCCGAGGAAAACCAATGTGGTCTTTCTAAGCCTGAATCAAAGCTGTCTTTCTCAGGGATGAATAAGAGAATTCTCATACTTGGAAATCATTCCACCAGCAACTGGAATGATCTTAAAACTCAATTCCAGTTCCTCAAAAGGTCTATGCTAAGAACTCACCTGCCAGGAGTGACAGATCATCTGAAATACAGCTGCAAGTTTCACCTCCAAACTATTGTAAGCACTTGGTTAGGAGTCAGTATCATCTAGACTTCCCAAACCAGTCTTTAGTATACATTCCTCACTACTCCCCACCCACGGTTTCTACCTGCTCACTCTCGTTTGAACATTGCTCATAAAACTGAGACTAGTTTAAGTGGATAAAAATTCTTAATTTTTAAAAAATCAGCAATTTCCAATGAACTCGTTTGAGCTCTGCAAATATACCATTATAACATTCCTATATATAGGCTATCATAGTGCAGGCTGAAGCCCAAAGGCATGGGGGAAGAGGCGAGGAGACATCTTGTTAGAGTATTTCCAACAGTCTGTGTCAAGCTGATTAGTGTAGAAAATTACTTTAAAGACATATTTTTCAACAGAAATATCGTTACTAGTAATTACTTATTTCATTTTTACTTATTTATTTTGTTGGGTTTTGGGCCACACCTTGGAGATGCGCAGGGGTTACTCCTAGCTCTGCACTCAGAAATTGCTCCTGGCGGTGCTCAGGGGGACCATATGGGATGCTGGGGATCGAACCTGGATTAGCCACTTGCAAGGCAAGCACCTTACCCGCTGTCCTGTAACTCCAGCCCAGTAACTATTTATTTCAATGTCAACATAACACGTTGAGTTCAAATTCACTCTGAGCTCCCTTACCTGCTGAAGGTGTTGCTCTGATTACTTCAACTCCTTCTGGAAGATCCAGAGGTTGGCTGTATACAAGTCTGGAACTCAGAATAAGTTTACTAGCAGTCTGAAGATTCGCAATAGATACAGAATGGGGCATGGGGCTCACAACAGGAGAGGTTTCTGGAGAAGAGTCTACAGTCTTCTGTCCAGGGACTGAAAGGAGATTCTCAGATGAGGTAACTTCTGAAGTTTTAGATGAAAAGAAATGACTAAAGTTAGCAAATGTATTACTAGCATCACTATATACAGAAATTAGAACACTTATTGTCATTTAAAAAAAAAATCTTGTTCCCTAACTTTGGAGATGGTCAATTTTTAGACTTTTGTTCTGTTACCTTGATAAAGTTTGGCTTGTTTTTTTATAGAAAAAAACACACACACTGTCCTCCTGTTGATCATCGATTTGTTTGAGCGAGCCCAGTAACGTCTACATTTTGAGACTTGGTGTTACTGTTTTTGGCATACTGAATATGTCATGGGTACTCTCGGTAGCTTGCCGCGCTCTCCGAGAGGGGCGGAGGAATCGAACCCAGCTAGGCCAGGCTGGCTGCACACAAGGCAAACACCCTACCACTGTGCTATGGCTCCAGCCCTTTTACCCCTTTTTTGGAGAGGAGGATTTCATGGGGGAGGCAGTCAAACCCGGCCATGCCTTAGGAGCTACTTCTGGCTCTGTGCTCAGGGAAACCTGTGGTGCCAGGGGTCAAAGCCAGGCAACCCACAAGCAGAGCATGTACCATACCCCTACATGGAGCTATCTCTTTGGCCACTGATTTTATATTTCTTAGCATCATCACCTTCACCACAGGTATACTAAGTAAAGGCCCTCCCGTTGTTCATCGATTTGCTCGAGCGGGCCCAGTAACATCTCCATTGGAGACTTTGTTGTTACTGTGTCTGGCATATCGAATACGTCATGGGGAGCTTGCCAGGCTCTGCCGTGCGGGCGAGATACTCTCGGTAGCTTGCAGGGCTCTTGAGAGGGGCGGAGGAATAGAACTCGGGTCAGCCATGTTGGCCGTGTGCAAGGCAAACGCCCTACCGCTGTGCTATCGCTCCAGTCCCAGGTATACTACAGTCCAGTCCAATCACAGGTATACTACAGTACAGTACAGTCACAGGTATACTACTCAGGGTAAATCATGACATGTAAAAACTAGTTCAAAGCTCCCAATCGTCAGAACACATCACATGCATGAGGCCCTCATTATCCTGAAAATCCCTGGCTCTAATCATAGACAACACTGTCATCTGGGTGCTTCTGAAACATGGATCACAAAGCAACTGTATCAAACCAAAAGGTGGCTGACTCATAGTTCATAGAGGAAGAAATGTAAACTTGGAGAGTTTACATAAGATCATATAAATCCACAAATGGTCAAAAAAATAATAAATAAACACTAAAATACCAGTTACATAACTATCAAGTGTCAAAACAAGATAACAACTTCAATACAATATACAAAAAAATAAAAACCTTAACGAAGTGAAGATACTGTCAGGTAACTAAGTTTTTTTTTTTAATTTGCTTTAATTATTTCAACATTATTTTTACTATATACATTCATATTAATTTCTGAGAAAATTATGAGATGTTTAGTCTGATGCAAATAAACTTATTTTAAAATCTTAGTTTCCAAAGAGTTTCATGTTAAAAGTAGACTGCAATTCTCTAAACAGAATCAGTTTTCTGTGCTTCTGACAAACTTTAGGGATGCGTTTATATTTCTGATCAATCTGTGCTCCTGTCTCTGCCCATTATACAAAGAATCTGTCAAGGGCATTTCAATACTTTTTTGATTTTTTTTAATTTTATTTTTATAAAGCTGTTCACGATAATTTATTACATTCAATATTCTAAAACCAATCCCACCACCATTTCACCTTCCTACTACCATTATTTGAACTTTCCCACCACCACCCAAGCCTGCCCCAAAGGCAGATCCTAAATAATTTATTTTGTATTGCTTGCTATGAATAATCTGCTAAAAATGATCCAAAGAAGTTTCAAGGAAAGTGTGTGAAAATTGTTGTATCTCACCTTGGAGTCATTAAACCCTTGTATAAGAGATTACGAACATGTTGCTACAGGTTGAGCCTTGTGTGCTTTTATTTAGATATATATTCATATATATGTATATATGTTATATTCATATATATGTACATATATATGTATGTTGATCAAGATCAATTGTCTTCTACTTTACACCCTATCAAATGTGATATGCTACTCTTGGTATATCAGTGGATTAAAGAATAGGATGTTGCTACAAGAATTCTAAAATTTTAAATAGGGTGATAGAGCTGGAGTTAAATTTTTAACTGCATGGTCAGACTTTGGGTTCAGAAGGGATCTCTGTAGTTTGTTGCTCTCTTCTAAGATTTATTTGTGAGTCTCTGGATCATGGCCATTAATGAGCTTATATGGTGCCAAAGGCAGTTCGTGGGCATGACTGTCAAGCTCCTAGAAGAACAGGGAGATGGGGAGAGGCCACCCAATCCCAACCCCTCGAGAGCCTGGAGATTTCAGTCACAAACAAGCAAACCTGGGTTTTTCAGCAGATTCAAGAAATAACATTTCAGTGCTTTGTACATCACAAGAAGTAACCAAAACACTAATACCATTATGATTTGCATATGCTGAATTATGTACCTGATAATGGTAGGTCATTCAAAAACAGATTTTTTTTCATGAAACAAGACAACAAACAAATGAGTCGTCACAGAAGCATTCTTGGCTCCGTCACTAACTAGAGATGTTTCCTTAAGCACAGCTTTCATCTCTGCCTATTTTCTCACCTGAAATTCCACTCCTTGGCATCCATCCCAATAACACAGAAACAGTAATTCAAAAATACAAACGCACACCTATGTTTGCTGCAGCACTATTCACAGGGCCAAGATAGAAAAACAACCCAGACCAATGAAAGATGAGTGGATAAAGTAATTGTAGTATACATTCACATAGTGAGACACTACTTAGCTAAAAAAAAGATGAAATTATGCTGTTTGCTCTAAGTTGGATAAAACTAGACAATCTCATGTTATATGAAATAAATTGGAGGGAGTAAAACTTATGCAGATGATCTCACTCCTATGTGGGATGTAAAGAAATACAGAATCCGGGCCAGAGCAAGAGTACAACAGGGAGTGTGAGGCCAGCCCAGGTTCAATCCCTGGAAGTGCATATGGTCCCTGAATCCTGCCAGGAATAATTCCTGAGTGCAGAGATAGATGTTCAGGTGTTCAACCCCTGAACATTGCAGGGCGTGGCCCAAAAACAAAAGAAAGGAAGGGAGGAAGGGGTGGAAGTGGGAGGGAGGGAGGGAGGGAGAGAGGGAGGGAGGGAGGAAGGAAGGGAGAAAGGAAGATCAGGAGGAGTGATCCCTGGAGCAAGAACAAAAACAAAACAAGGGAAAGGGAAAGATCTTTCAATGGCCTCTGACAACAGGGCTGAGGTCACCATGCAGGGGAGGGGCGGACTGGAGTAGACTAGAAGAGACTTAAGGATGGTGCAGGGCTTTGAGCACTTTGATGGAGTAGAGCAGTAACTTGTACATCAAAGCAAAAACATTTAACCTCCTGTAAATCATGCTACCTCTATCATTTTTGAAAATAAAGGCTTATTTTAAATAAACATAAACGAAATGCAAAGGCTGTCCAAGAAGTTTTGGATTCTTGCTACCTTGGAATAAACAAAGCATAGGTAATGGCTGTATGTAATTAGACAACTTTCATGTCTGCTTATGGCCTAGTTAGAACTTTTTCGGTCACACCTTTTTCGGTCATTCCTGGCTCTGCACTCAGGAATTACTCCTGATGGTACTCAGGGGACCATATGATCGAATCCAGGGCGGCTGCATGCAAGGCAAGCATCCTACTTACTGTACCATTGCCCCTGAGTTCACAATTTAAAGTAGATTCCATTTAGCTGACTATTGTGCAGCTCCTCATTTTAACAGTCACCTCTCAGAAACTAAATCTGTTTTACAACAATCCATGCTAAATTTCTTTGTTATATACTACAGAATGTGAACAACAAAAGTGTGGAAGAAATAACATATCATTCATGGATTTCTCAAATAGTCTCCAAAAGTAATTTTGGTTGGTCTAAGGAGATAGACGGAAGAAAGGACCAGAGCACATCCCTACCACATGAAAGCCCCGAGTTCGATTTCCAGCACCAGAGCAGTCCCAGCACTGCTGGACTTGAGCAGCACCAAGCTGATTATCACTGGGTGTAGTTCTGGGGGCCCCTGAGCACTGCATGGGAATCCCTGCCCCTCAAGAGTTCTGCATATAAGCTTCAACTTATGTATGACATGTGCTTCAGCATAGATAAAAAGTGCTCAATCATATACTTCCAAATGGCAAATATGTCTCTCTTTAAGTATTGTTAAAACTACTGTATACTGTATCAAATGGCAACAGAGAAGCACAATACTAATTCTGTCTGCTAAACCAATTCCTAAGACAAAGCCATAGAGGCATTAGATAAATATTAGTCAAAAAATAAAGTCTAGGGATGGAGCGATAGTACAGTGGGGAGGGCATTTGCCTTGCACGAGACCAACCCAGGTTGGTCCCCTGCATCCGATATGGTCCCCTAAGAAATGCTAGGAGTAATTCCTGAGTGCTGAGTCAGGAGTAACCTCTGAGCATCTCCGGGTATGACTCAAAAAGCCAAAAAAAAAAAATTTTAAATAAATAAAAATAAACTCAATTAAACTCCTTTTTCCAACATGTCACTCTTTCGCTTTTAGATTAACCTATTCAGTGAATAGTTTATGACTTTGCAATTAAAAAAACATATTAAGTATAGTGAATTTACTTCACACCATCCCTGTATACAACATACCTACATACCTACCTAATTACTTACCTACACATGCCTGTACAGATTTAAGAAGAAGGTGCCACATATGAAGAATGGAGTAATTATTGCTGTCCTTTTCAATTACAACTAGAAAGAACTTTTCTGAAAATGGTGGTGGACGATATCCTAATTGTTGAAAGAAATGGGTATTTAAGTTAAAATGCATCCATAGGGTTAAAAATATATATAAAATTGGGAGAAAAAGAATTGCTTGGAGCAGTTGTATAAAAATTGTGTATCAGAAGTTCAGTAGCTTTGAATTATAATAGATTACCTCCCAAGTACACAAAAGCCAAGAAGGGGCCATAAATGGGGTATTCTGAGAATCAAGGAATAACAATGAACACAATTCAGTAAAACGCATTGACTATAAAAGCCAAATTAACAACAAAAATCAAACAATTAAACTAGGTTTTATACATAATTTTCTTGGCAAAAGTCTGTGCTGCCAGTGAAATGGCCTTTCAAAATTTCAAACTCACCCATGTGTTTTCTTCTCCTAAAAACAAGAAATTTTGACATAACTGGTGCCAAAAATTATCTTTAATATAAAGTGATCTTTAATGTAAAGACCCACACTCTATAGCAAGTCTGCAAATTATTTTAAGCTTAAGATATCAAACTCAAGCTAATATTTAAAACTACCTTGTGAAGGCTGAAAAAATACTTCTGTTTCCTTTTTCTCCTTATCTTCCTTATGTGGTTTATATCCTATAATAAAGTCTTCTTGAAACACATGGAGCAACTGTGTATTTGAACCACACTACAAACAGGAAAAAATAAAGAGTTTAATCTTTGAAATTCCCTATCTTCCCCACCTCCATCACCTCTCCAGAATAATAAAGCATAGGGAAAAAAATCTACCAGAAAAACAAAACGGGGAGAGGGGGTGTCCTGAGAGATAGTACAGGTGGGAGAGCACTTCCCTTGCACATGACCAAGGCAGGTTTGATCCCCAAAACCACACCTGAGACCACCAGGAGTGATCCCTGAGCTCAGAGCCACGGAGAAGCCATGAACACCATTGGGTGTGGCCCAAACACCAAAAAAAAGGAAAGAAAAAAAAATTTATCTCCCTTATTGACTGACAAATCAAAGGATAGAGCAACATGGAAAAAAGTATTTGAACTCCCTTAGCAGAGACAAATTAGTGGTGCTAGACCCAACACTAATAAAATCCAAACAACAAGGGGCTGGACTGAGAGCCCAACAGACTGAATACATACTTGGCCTGTAAGGAGGCCCATGTTTGATCCCCAACACCAAATGGTTTCAAATACCAGGAGTAACTCCAAGCACAGGGGTCAGTGTAGCCCCTGAGCACTGATGTGACTTGTCCCGGTGGGGGCAGAACAGAGCTGTTTTCTGAACTCAAAACCAGCAGATGTCTGGAGCCAGAGCAATAATACAGGGTGACCTGGATTGGACCCCCGGCAGCCCATATGGTTCCCAGAGCCCCACCAGGAGTGATCCCTGTGCACTACTGAGTATGGCCCTCAAACAAACCCCTAAAAATCTAATATTCAGCCTCAAAAGGCAAACATTCCAAAGCTGAATCTGAAATCGGTAACAGAACAAAGAGAAAACACAAACCAAGACTTAATGCATTAGTCTTAGTGCACAATGCATTTTATTTTCCCTCTTGCCTTCCTGAATCACGTGCCCTTTAAACAGAAAATAAAATTACTGATTCAACTTAACCGAAAAATAGTAATTCCTAAATCACTAGGCTTTTACTATGAGAATCAAGAGAAGCTGTATTTCATCTCAAACAAGAGAATAATTCTGAGAAGGCGGTAGATCATACATGCATATTAAATACTCTGGGACAAAGTCTATTAATATAACCAATTCACAACTGTGCTTTTACCTGGTTGGTTATCGCATCGAGTTCAATTATGCATCCAGGTCGAGCAGTAGACTGTTGGCTCACAATATTAAACACTTCTCCAATGAGTTTCTGTAAATAAAAATAATAAAATCTTAAGATCAGCAATTTATGAATCTACTGACAATATAACACATAATAGCAGACATTAAAAGGCCCTCTAAATATTCAGATTGGCAATGGCAATTGATACGTTTTTAAAACCCGCAACTTTCTATACTCCTTCTCATTTTTAAAATTAACTAAGCAGTTAAAATAATGCTATTTAAGAACGTTTATAGAATTCCAAACCATCTAATTCTTTTACTATGCTTTCCTCATTTTGCAACCATAAAGCTCCAAATTAGACACAGTTGAGAATCTGAACCAGTACCAAAGGGTACGGTTTGTAGATCTGAAATGTCACTTCAAAGCACCACTTCGACAGCCTTCCATTGAGAAGAACTAGGCTCTGCGTCTTAGAATGAAGATGAAATAACTCCCCAAACTACCCAACCTTTCTGTTTATGAAGGTTTTCCTGGGAGAAAATATTTGCCCACCACTCATTTGACAAAGGGTTAACATCCATGAGAGACAAGTACTTGTGAGACTTAACAACAACAAAAAATGTCAAAAAAGTGGAAAGAAGAGATAAACTAAGATATACAGACGGTCAATAGCTATATTTTAAAACATGCTTTCATCAGAATGGGAGACTAACCAAGAATAGTAGAGATAAGGACCAGGAGGTATGCTCCATGGCTTGGAAACCGGCCTTATATGCTGGGGGAAAAGGTAGCTCAGATAGAGAAGGGAACACCAAGTGAAGGGTACGTGGAAGATCCGCTTGGGATAGGAGATATGTGCTGAAAGTAGACTATAGACCAAACACGATGGCCACTCAATATCTCTCTTGCAAACCACAACACCCAGAAGGAGAGAGAGAACAAAAGGGAATGCCCTGCCACAGAGGTGTGATGGAATGGAAGGGATGGGGTGGGGGTGGGGGGAGGGATATTGGATCATTCGTGGTGGAGAATGGGCACTGGTGGAGGGATGGGTACTCGATCATTGTATGACTGAAATGCAAGCACGAAAGTTTGTAAGTCTATAACTGTACCTCATGGCGTATCACTAATAAAAATAAATAAATAAATAAACATGCTTTCACTTATCAATAAATGCAAATCAAAACAATGAGCAAGACTGGCACACATTTTTTAAAAATACAAGTGTTGGTGTAGATGTGGGAAAGGGGATATTCATCCACTACTAGGTACGGTAAAGGCCCTCCCGTTGATCATCGATTCGCTCGAGCAGGCCCAGTAACGTCTCCATTGGGGACTTTGTTGTTACTGTGTTTGGCATATCGAATACGTTCACGGGGAGCTTGCCAGGCTCTGCCCTGCGGGCGAGATACTCTCGGTAGCTTGACGGGCTCTCCGAGAGGGAGGGAGGAATCGAACTCGGGTTGGCCATGTTGGCTGCGTGCAAGGCAAACGCCCTACCGCTGTGCTGTCAATTATCTAACCTCCATGAAAAACAATATGAACACTCCTCAGGAAATTAAGAATAAAGCTCCCATGCCACCCAGCAATTCCACTTCTCAGCATCTACTTTCCAGCCCCCTAAGGTCCCCCAATCCCTATTTTATTTTGAAAGGAAAAAAAAAAAACTATTTGTGTTCCTATGTTCCTTGAAGCAAAATTCACAACAGCCAAACTCCGCAAAAATGCTGTGTTTCTTAAAAAAGATGACTGAATAAAGAAACCATGGTGCACACACACAATGGAATACTACTCGGCTATAAGGAAAGACAAAATCATGAAAGTGCCATTACTTTGGTGGAACTAGAAGGAATAATGCTGAGTGAAGTCAGCCAGGAGCAGGACAAAGAATGAGCTCTCGCATATTGGGTAAAAAGAAGGAGAGTCAGGGAGGAACAACAAACAGGCAAAGACAACAAAATGAGGCATCACTGGGTGGGCAGAGCAATAGTATAGGGGGTAGGGCATTTGCCTTACACATAGCTGACCCAGGTTCGAGTGATCCCCTGAGCACTGCCAGGAGTAATTCCTGATTACAGAGCCAGGGGTACTCCCTAAGCAATGCCGGGAGTAACCCAAAATGAAAAAAGAAAAAAAAAAGAGGCATCACCTCACACATACTTGAATCTGGGATCTTGTGTGGACATACCCATTCTTCCCTAGCCAACCACATTGGCTTCTTGATTGGATAACCCTAAGCTCTGCTAGGAGAATCTTGGAGGTCACACCCACTGAGGGGTGTAGCTCTGGAGGTCCTCAGGCCATGAGCAGCCTGGCATCCACTGGCCTGAACACTGAGCCTCTGGCCTGGTTGCTTACATTGCCAGGAGCAGCCCCAGGGTTACCACCTGGAAGATTTCCCCCAGTTTAAAAAAAAATTTTTTAAAAATCAATACCCAATAAAACACAAGATCTAATAGCATCTTAATGAGCCATAGTAAGGCCTGAAGCAAAACTCCAGAAATGTTTTGACATATTTCTAAGGATTAATATTTTCCAGAACATTTAAAATCATTGAAAAATGGAAAAATAGTATATTAAAACTCACAACACTGCCTGAAGTTTAAATGAGTGCATAAAAAATACTGTAGCTAATTTTAGTCTTTAATTGTTGTAAACGTATCATAAATATCTTTAAGCATATATTTTTTCTTTTTGAGTCCCACCCGGTGATGCACAGGAATTACTCCTGGCTCTGCACTCATGAATTACTCTTGGCAGTGCTCAGGGGACCATATGGGATGCTGGGAATCAAACCCGGGTCAGCTGCATGCAAGGTCAACGCCCTACCCATTGTGCTATTGCTCCAGCCCCTAAGTATATTTTTAAGCAACAGTCTTTTTTGAAAAAGAAATAAACTACCAAAATTGCCTGCAATGATTTCTTTTCAACTATAAAAGATTGGCCAACAAGGTCTATTGTATTTCAGTAAAGTGCTGAACAAGCTGTCTCATGGAAATCTTTGGGGGAAAATGGAGATACTTTTCAAGTATTTTTACTACTAGGGTCTCTCTTCACTCTCATCCTAGTTCAGCTTTTGTCTGTTTTTTATTTGTTTGGGGGGCATACCTGGTGATGCTCAAGGGTTACTTCTGACTCTGCACTCAAGAATTACTACTGGCAGTGTTCAGGGGGCCATATGGATGCAGGGGATAGAAACCAAGTCAGCCATGTGCAAGGCAAATGCCCTACCCACCCTGCCATCTCTCCAGTCCCTGGATCGGCATTTTGACAACAAATTTGAATTAATACACACACACAAAAATAAATTTATCAAATATGCTAGTCCTAAAGTCCTAAAGAATTAACAAGTAATCTGAATTCAAAGAGATACTGCAAAGCAATACTATTAAGCCAAGCAAGATTAAGCATGATAGGGAAAATGGGCTATGTTTGCGCCCCAAATGCAAAGGTAAAAATATGGAATAGTTTACTGAAAATAAGAGTGTCTGCGATATCTGAGAGTCAGCCCAATAGGAAACAATTACAGAAAACATAAAATGTGGCTGCCAAAATGACAGTAACAAACGAGAGAGATCATTGATGCTGCTGTGTTCTAGTAGTCCTACAATGCCGAGAGTAGAGACCAGTTGAAACCTGCTACAGATGAGTGACCAGGATTTAATGTATTATAAAGAGTAACTGGAAGACTGGACACAGATCCAGCCTGAGAGAGTTTGAGTTAGAAGACAGTAACAGAGAGGAAGTGCTCTCATCTGCAAGAGGTAGATTTACTCTAGATGGAAACAAAGCAAGTAAATTTAATAAACGCACATTTAGGGGCGTGGGTGATAGTGCAACAGGTAGGACACCTGCCTTGCACACAGCCCACTCAGGTTCAATCCCGTACCCCATATAGTCCCCTGAGCCTTGCCAGAGCCTACTGAGCGCAGAGTTTAAGTCCTGGCAATGCACATTTAATTTCAATATAATACATAGTGAGGATAATTCAAAGAAAGAACCTTAAGATCTGAGTTTTCTTCCTTAGATGCCAGATGACAAACTGGGAGGACTGTGGTGCTAGGGAACCAAGCATCAGAGGGCTTGTGAGACTAGCTGACCATTACAGTATCTTTTAACTCTAATTTTGAGATGTGTCTTTTCTACATTATGTCTAAGCAAAGCCTTTGGCTCAGTCCAATTAGCTCTCTCCCTTCTGAAACAAGCCTCATTTTTCATGTACTTTCCTGTGTCATGTCCACATTTACTCCCAGGCCATTCTCTCTCATTCACACAAAATACAAACGATTCATCTTTCTAAACCTTACCCACCCATCAAAAACTAATCCAAACACTGTCCTTAATAAAGGCTGCTTTGCATGTACTGATCTTATCTTTCTCCTTCGAATTATGAACTAGTTCTAATGCCATCTGTTTGGCAATTAATCATAGCCTACCCTGAGATGCCTTTTCTGCCTTAAACTGTTACTTAATCTTTTGTTAAGAATTCCTCTCTGAGCAAGACAGACAGACAGACAGAGAAGAAAAGCACCTGCCATAGAGGCAGGCAGGGAGTGGAGAATGAGGTTGATTGGAGAGAACCTGGGGACACTGGCAGCACGATGGGTGTTGGAATACTGTATGATGGAAATCCAACTATAAATGGCTTTGTAATGCTTTAAAAAATTAATTAAAAATCAATAAAATTAAAAACAAAGAATCCCTCTCTTCAATTCAGTTTAAAGCTCCTGAATGGTAGACACTGAAGCTTACACATAATATATATCTAGGGGTCCAAGTAAACATTTAAGAATAGTTTTTATGACAGTCACGGTCCTCCCGTTGTTCATCGATTTGCTCGAGTGCGCCCAGTAACATCTCCATCGTGAGACTTGTTGTTACTGTGTTTGGCATATCGAATACTTCACAGGGAGCTTGCCAGGCTTTGCCGTGTGGGCGAGATACTCTTGGTAGCTTGCCAGGCCCTCCAAGAGGGGCAAAGAAATCGAACTCGGGTCGGTCATGTTGGTTGCGTGCAAGGCAAACGCCCTACCGCTGTGCTATCACTCCAGCCTCAATGCTTTTTCAGCATTGGGAAAATTTTAATTAGAATTGATATTTTATAAATCAGTATATTATTACAGGTAAGTACAAACTTACTATACAAATCTGCATATTAATGTGTGTGACTTCCACTTCATATAAAGAACTACCCGAATAAAATACTTTCTTTTGGTGAGAGGTCACACTCAGCAGTGCTCAGGGGTTACTCCTGGCTCTGCACTCAGGAATTACTCCTGGCAGCACTCAGGGGATTCCAGGGATCGAACCCAAATAAACTGCATGCAAAGCAAACATCCTACCCACTGTACTAACCCTCCAGCCCCTAGAACAAAATACTTTCATCCACTGATAACACATTGTAATCACAGTGTTTTGGTTTTTTTTTTTTTGAAAATCTGAATACTTGGTAAATGAAGTAGAAACACAGCTAAATTTAAGGGATCATTAAATTCACCACCAGGGCTCACCACAAACTACTGTCCAAATGTCAGCAAAATGCCACTGTTCAGTTTCTCCTGTGTCTGTGACACCAAAACAAAACAAAAAAAGGGGGGGGGGGGAGGTAATCATACAAGTATTTAAAATAAAATGACTGATGTGGGGCTGGAATGACAGCACAGCCACTAGGGCATTTTCCTTGCATACAGTCAACCTGGCACTCTGTGTTTTCCCCCAAGCCTGGTAGGAGTAATCCCTGAGTGTGCAGCCAGGAGTAAATCCTGAGTATCACCAGGCATAGCCGCAAAACAAAAAATAAACAAAAGAGTTGCAGTATTGAGGAAGAGGGGGCATATTTCATTAAATATAAAATGTACTGATGTGCAATGATTTGATCATAGTTTTTTATTCCTGCACCTCACTGTATCACTGTCATCCCGTTGTTCATCGATGTACTTGAGCAGGTGCCAGTAACATCTCCATTTGTCCCAACGCTGAGATTTTAGCAGCCTCTCCTTACTCATCTTTCCCAACGCTGCCTTACTGAAGGCTCCTTCAGGGTCAGGGAAATGAGACCCGCTATTGTTACTGTTTTTGGCATATCGAATACGCCCTGGGGAGCTTGCCAGGCTCTGCTATGCGGGCGGGACACTCTCAGTAGCTTGTCAGGCTCTCCCGAGAGGGACAAAAATTAAGCCGTATATAAGAGAATACAAGCAAGTATGTTAAAACCAAACAAATCTGTGCTGCTTTATTCCTGCGCCTCAAAATGTGTAAAGAAAAAACATTTCTGTCAAAGTCCAAAATATATTCTCGTCACCTAAACACTCACAACACAATTAAAAGAGAACTCTTTATCAGCTCTGGAGTATTCGTAAAGGCCAGTAAATACTTACTGAAGATTCCGGGTCTGAAAGCTCATCCAGTAATTTCCTTGCATCTACCACAGCTTGATAAAGTCTCAGATTTTTGCCATCAGATGCAACAAAGCAAGCACTTGCAGAATTACAGTATGTGCCTGAGAAATTAAATGCATTAAAATGTAGCTTATTATTGACTCAAGGACAAGAGATACTTTTCTTTTTGGGAAAAAAATGGTTCAGAATTATAATTAAACAACTAGAAAATATAAAATTGTGTTTTTAATTCAATAGAAAGTTGATGAGACGGAAAAGATGGATAATAGGCTTCTAGCTGTTTTAAGCTTTAAGTTTGGTGTCTATACAATGAGTTGCTATTTAAAAACATTTAATAGCACATATGCTGCCTGAGCCCATGTGCTGCTTGCACCCACATGACCAAGGACATGTGGTGCCCGAATACATAGGTTGCCCACATCTCCCCTCTTGAGATGTGCACTTTCATGCAACGGTGTCTAAGGCTGGGATGCGTGTATGGGCTCTCTCTGACCTTGGAGAAGCCTGTGTTTGTTCTCTCTCTCTCTCTCTCTCTCTCTCTCTCTCTCTCTCTCTCTCTCTCTCTCTCTCTCTCCCCCCTCCCTTTCTCCTCTCCCTCCCCCCCTCACTCCCTCCCCCAGCACACAACATTCAAAAACCCTCCAAATAAAATCTATTTAACTTAAAAAAATTAACAGCAACATATATAAGCCATTTTGTGGATACAAAATAATTAAGCCTTTTATTATGTTTACAACGAAAATGAACACTTACCAAGACAGTAACTGGGAATAAGAGTTGGAAGCCAGGCAACATTAGAGAAGGCTGAAGTATGTAAAGAATTAATTCTAGCCAATTCTGAGACTCCTCCAGTGTATGACAAAGGTCCAATTGGGTCTACACGCCATAGAATAAGTTCACTGTAAATTGCATTTGGGTCATGAAACGTACACGTTGCTGCATTTCTAAGGGACTGCTTGGAGGGGCCTTTTAGATGTCTTACAGGATCCATCGGCTTACTTAAATTAGCGGCGGAGTCCCACTGACAACTGGATTCAGGAGTCAAGAGAGCATTGTGATGAGACGAGGTGAGTAACAGTGGTAAGACTGAGTGGCATGCCAGGTCATTGAGGTGAAATCGATGGCCACAGTATCGAAACTTGTGAGATACGGTCAGGACAGTGGTGAAGGCAGACTTATCAGCGAAAGTGACCGCCCACTGGTTTAGAGAGCCGTCGATGTGTTTGGAGACCATCATGACTGTGGGAGCTACAATGTTCATGCCATGGGAGCGAGACTGGGGCTGTGATCGGTGAGGACTGTCTGAAGCCACCAAGTCTGCATGGGAGTGAGTGTGGTGAGAATCTTTGGAAGCATTGATGCAGGCGTACATCATGATGTTTTTACTTAGAGAACTCGCATCGCCAGATGGAAATGCAACAGGTATCCGGGAAGAAAAAGAAACCTGAAAGACACAAAGACACGATGCAGCGTGAGAAGCTGCCGCCTCCAGAAATACTTCAATTCCCGAGGCGCCAAATCCCAGCTCCTAAGCAGAGACAATCTCTTCGTGATCGAGTCCCTTTTCTCTGTTTATGTAACAGCTCTATTCATAGTCCCAGAAAAGACTGCAGAAAACCCACTTCAAGCATTTGCTGATACACCTAAATGGCCACAACCACAAATGAACATGAAGATGAGAACGATAACAGGTAAGAGGTAGCCAGGTTTAAAAACCAGGGCAAAAGGAGCGGAGTCACATTTTCAGGGTTGTTTCTTAGGCTCATTCAAAATACTGTCAATTCCCGAAGGGGGAAACCACCACATTTATCTTCAAATATTCACTACTGAATTCAAAGTTAAATTCACCTAATTTGATTTATCAGGTCTATAAAATTTTTGGTCACTGATCCTTCTTTCTAAGAATACCCCTTTTTTCGTTTCTTTTTTCAAACATATTATTACATATTTGTCATTGATAATATTGATGGTTACTTTTATTATTAGTTTTTAAATAACTACCAGTCCAATATGGACTATTTGGGTAATTATGAAAATCCACCCTATCTGCAGCGCTTCACTTTTAAAGAAATGTAATAATTGCTTCGTCATCTATGTACCTGGACTTGTCTAAATATCCCAGGATTATATTCATCCAAATATTTTATGTGCCACACTAGGAAGGTACCATCTACCGGGTGGATAGTAAAAAGCATGTCAGGATTCTTGTTCCATTCAGCGAGCAGCATTTCAATCTTCCGATCAAGCAAGACAGTGGGCAGAGGCAGAGAGACTCGAGGGCGTGAGCAGGTTCTAGGACTTCCTTCTCGTTCCCCATCTTCATGTTCTGATGACCCAGTACCTGCCTCGGATTCTCGATCCAGGGACAAATCTGAATCAGGACATAAACAAACACATCAACACGGGCAAAATATCCGAACACGAGAATAACATTTAAAAAGTTCAGATGCAAGCTAGGCTATCAAGAAATAACGTACTAAGTACAGAGTATATGCCCCTTTTCCATTTTGGGGGGCTGGAAACTTTTCTCTAGTCTTAACTGAAAAGCACTATTTATCACTTTGAGATTAAATTCAAATTTTATTTACCCTAGCATTATGATTATCCACTAGTAAAAACTCGTCCTTGGAAAAGAATATGGCTTCCAAGGTACGACATCACTAAAAACAGAATGTTACCAACATAAGAGCAAAGCAGATGAGCACCCACGAATACCATACAGCAAGTATTTGTGGAATCGGAAATGTCGAAGGAAAGGAGAGCAAAATAAGGATGTATTACAAACTGAAAGAAGAACCACAAAAAGTTGCTAACTTAGAGGGAAAAAAAAAATCTGAACAAGGCTACTAACCATGATCTAGCTTCATGCGCAAACCCCGCTCCCGTTCTTCCTGGGACCGCTCCTCATCTTCCCTACTTGCGTCATCACTTTCAGGATCGACCTGCTTTTCTGAAAGTTTTCGTAACTGCTGCATAAATATCTCAGTAGAGGATGTAAAATGGAATTCCTTGTTGTTCAGCCAGTGCACTACAAAGCCGCCGTTCCCATCATCAATGTTAAACGCGGTGCCAATCAAGACATTAGGAATATCTACGGAAATACAAAAGCGGCACTGATATGAATTTTCACATCTTCAAACAAAAGATATTAAAACTGTTCACGTGAAGGAATAGGTCTGTACTTACACAGAAAAGGTATTAAGCAACCCTTCATTGAATAGTGAATGTAAATATTAAATAATAGTAGTGATTTCTATTAATTGAATTAACTCATTTTAAAATGAAATACGTGAAACGTACAAACCTTTACTAAATCCTGGTCTGGGGAAAATGAACAGAAAGATAAAATCAAAAAACAGCTATTAAAGATGTTTTAGAAAGATCTGGAGAAATCTGAATGTGAAGAGGGTAGTAGAAGTTACAGAATTACTTCTGATTTCTTTAGGTAATGTGACTGTGTGAACTGCCTTCCTCTTTTTTCAAAGAGGAAAGTATCATGCTAAGTGAAAAGAGTCATAAAGAGAGGGACAGACACAAAAAGACTGTACTCATCTGTGGAATATAAAGTAACAGAATAGAAGACTAACACCCAAGAATAGTAGAGATAAGGACCAGGAGGTTTGCCCTATGGCTTGGAAGCTGGCCTCACATGTTGGGGGGTAAGGCAGCTCAGATAGAGAAGGGAACGCCAAGTAAAGAGCATTGGGAGGACTTGCTTGGGTTGGGAGATGCCAAAAATAGACTATAGACAGAACACAATGGCCACTCAATACCTCTATTGCAAACCATAATACCCAAAAGGAGAGGGAGGACAAAGGGAATACCCTGCCACAGAAGCGGGGTGGGGAGGGTGATGGGGTGGGGGTGGTGGGAGGGATACTGGGATCATCGGTGGTGGAGAATGGGCACTGGAGGAGGGATGGGTACTCGATCATTGTATGACTGAAATGCAAACACAAACGTTTGTAAGTATGTAATGGTACCTCATGGTGATTCACTAATAGAAAATAAATGAATGAAAGTTTAATGGATTTATTTTTACAAATGAATAAACTGAAGCTCAAAAAGTTAAAAAAAATAAAAATAAAAAACAAATAAAACACTTGCTTTGAGCCTGGCACTCACTCAGGCACTTATTGTTGCTCTCTACATTAAGAAAAGTTTGTTCACTGGTAGCTTACTAAGGGATTTGACACATTTTTAATAAAAAATTAATGTTTCATTTATACTGGGAAGAAAAAAAGCTTGCTCAAGTGTGAAAGGATGATATGCAATAACAGATATATTTTACTTTGAATGATTAAAATTTAAGGCGCAGAGAGAAAAAGAGCGTGCCTTGCAAGCCTGAAGTTTGATTCCCAATAGCAGCCACAAAATGGTTCTGGGAGCTCAGCACTCTGGACCTGATACCACAGCAGTGTAAGATCTCTGCAGCTAATGTGTGTGACCCTAACAAACACCACCCTCCAAAGCACTCGCCCTTACCACTTGGTGAGTGCTGTCCCATGACAAACACCACATTGACCCCGGTGAGCACTATAACTGAAATGAGTGTGAGCGCCACACTTGATAAGGACTTACTCTAAGCAGATCTAAAAATCTGAAAATATTTGGTCTTCTATATTTTTAATGTAGAAAGAAAACAAAATTCACTCAAATATACTTTTTGCCACATAGAACCCACCTTAAAATACTTCTCCACACCATGGGAAGAAAAGGAGTAAGAGAAAATATCAAGAGTAAAAATATCTTTCCTTAGGGTGGGATCAACAGACTGTGCAAGTAGAAACTAAATGATATAGATAAAAAAAACCTGCAAAAACATATTAAAGTTATTAAAAATTTGAAAAGGATAGTAACGAAAATACAAAAGAAAGGGAAATTATATCTTTAGCCAGACATCAGTAGTGTTCCAGGTTCAAGTGAAGCTCTGTTTCGCTTAGAATTTTTACTTATAATCTAGGCTTCTTACAGGCTAGAGAAATAAAGATGCTCAAATAACTGATTTGAAGCTATTCCCTAAGAATCACATAGTCCAATTTTAAGAAATATACCTCATATTCCTATCCCAAGAGGAAGCATTCTATACAGCAATGTAGAATATTAATATCCAACTCTTATAGAAGTCTTCCTTTTGTGTTGCCCTTATCCTGGCATGTCTGTAACAAACAAGACTTGCCGAGCCCTTACCTGTGGCAGGATTGATGCTCGCAGCAATGTGGAAGTGACACAGGGCATTTGCATGGTGGGAAATGTGTCTCTGGACCTCATGCATTGGCCCCTGGTCAGGCAGAAGGTCAGTGTGAGTTACAAGAACAGATGACCTCCTTTGTCCTTTTCTCAAATTTTTTAAATGGTGTATTGTCTGAAATAGAAAAATAATTACAGAAGTCAATTATGGAATATCTAATGAACATTAAAGTACTTTTAATTACTTAGGCTTTCTGATTCTTCTCTCTGCAAAACTTGACCACTTTAAAAAAAGAAAACTTTCTTAGCTACAGTAAGATAATCCTGGACATCGTCTCCATCATTCCTATACGTTGAGATTCAAGACAGAAAAGCAGTTGCTCTAAATTAATTATTAATGTTGCAGTGGGCTGGAGCAATAGCACAGAGGGTAGGGTGTTTGCCTTGCACGTGGCCGACCTGGGTTCCATTCCTCCGCCCCTCTTGGAGAGCCCTGCAAGCTACTGAGAGTATTCTGCCCACACGGCAAAGCCTGGCAAGTTCCCCAGGCCATATTCGATATGTCAAAAACAGTAACAACAAGTCTCACAATGGAGACATTACTGGGCCCACTCGAGCAAAATCGATGAACAATGGGAGAACCTACAGTGCTACAGTAGTAGGTTACTGATCACCTACAAATAAATATTATTTTGGATGTTTAGTTAATCATTTATTAATAACTTCTCACTATACAGAGGCTTCAATAGATAAAGCATCCAAAGTCCTGGTTTTCCCCAGAAAATCTCAGGAATAAAAAGGAATTAGTTCACTGTACTTCCTTATATTCTATAATTTAATCTACATCCAGTATCAGGCTTGATACTAATTTACTTTTCTTTTCAAGGACCTATACATGTTTAACTTATCTAATCAAAGATGCTGGCAACTCTAGATTTCTACATCTGACATGCAGAATGAAAGAATCACATTTACTGGGTCCAGGGAGACAGCTGAAAAAACTGGAGCACATGCATGGCATGTGTGAGGTCCCAAGTTTGCTCCCAAATCCACACAGTCAGTCCCCTAAACTGTCAGAAATGTCCCTGGCCACCCCTACGTACCGCTTGCCACAGCAGCACCGCATTGCTGAAGCCAAGTATGTGCCCACTGCTGGGCCCGGGGTAGCCAGACGGACCACTAATGAGGAAGCACCTCCCCAAAAAGGGGAATAATTAAAATTACTTATTTCCCTAGACTGACCACATGTCTGAGACCATTTGTCTATGGTTTTTAAGTGGCCTAAAATTAAGTAGTCTCACAGGAATAAAGAATTATTTACTGTTATTCTTATCACTTCACGTACCAGGTGCATCCCCTGCATCTTAACTTACGAATGTCCACCAGATAAATAAGCAAAATGTATTGACCATCTAGAGAGAGAGAGAGTGAAAGAATGAGAGCGAGAGTGAGCAAGAGAGAGACAGACAGACAGACAGACAGACAGACAGAGTACCTCGAGGGCATGCTGTATTCTGTCCTTGTGTTTTCCGTGATGAGCAATGTTGCCGGCAATGCTGGAAGTGGTGGTCTCACAAATCTGCTCACCCAAAAGACAGTCTTCGGGTAATAAAGTTTCTGCCCAGAGCCGACAGACACCATCATGGCATGAAGTCAGTAACACATTACAGACAGAACCTCTAGTGACAAAGAGAAGGAAACAAAAGCTACTATGAACACCACTGCCATCAGCAAATTAAAGGCTACTCATCTCTGGTTCCTGGGTCAAGATGACTGGTACAAAACAAGGAGTAGATCTGTATGCACTGTTCCTATCCTGATCAGAGGGATCCACTATTTTGCACCATTTTTCACCTGCTCCTATCCACTAGATAGCAGGCTCGATAAAGGGCTACATACAATTAGCATGAAATGGAAACCAATAAACTGACCGACACCAGAATTTTACTGATTATGTCTTGAACAACCAAGCTAGATTAATACACAGTGCATTTCCAGTTACCTTATAGATGTCTCTATACTAATTGCTTTAGAAATGATGCAGTACACAGTGGAATAGTATGCAGCTGTCAGGAAAAATAAAGTAATGAAATGTGCCTATAAATAGATGGACATGGAGAATACTATGCTGAGTGAAATGAATCAGAAGGAGAGGGACAGATATGGAATAACTGCATTCATTTGTGGTATATAAAAATATATATATTGTAGAAGAATAATATCCATGGCAGGAAATACGGGGGTTAGGAGGACTGGTCAATGGTCGAAACTAAACACAAATGTGTGTGGGGCTGAGGTAGGTAAGATAGAGAAGAGACTGCAATGACAATAATAGCTGGGAATGATCACGCTGGACAAGAGCTGAGGGTTAAAAGTAGGTAAGAGATATTCTTGATAACCTTTCAGTACCAATACTGCAAACCACAATGCCCAAAGTGGGGGAGGGAGAGAGAGAGAGAGAGAGAGAGAGAGAGAGAGAGAGAGAGAGAGAGAGAGAGAGAGAGAGAAAGAGACAGAGACAGAGACAGAGACAGAGAAGAAAAGTGCCTGCCATAAAGGCAGGCAGGGAGTAGGGGGTGGTTGGGGGAGGGATGGGAGGGAACCTGGGGACACTGGTACTGGGAAATGTACACTGGTGGAGGGGTGGGTGTTGGAACACTGTATGACTGAAATCCAATTATGAACAGCTTTGTAAGGATCTCACAGTGATTCAACTAAAAAGTTTTAAAAATAAATAAATACATAAAAAATAAATAATGAAAAAGAAATGGCGCTATACAGAAAAAGAGGAGTCAACTAAAGAGCTTAAAACCATATCAGGTATCACTGTGGACATCGTGAAAACAAGGAAATGGTCATGGCAAAGGAAACAAATGAATGCCAGATTCAAATATGCTCCTTGAAGGCTCTGCATGAATACTAGTATCTTCTCAACAAAATGAAGTAGCAAAATGATCAACAAAAATGATCTTAACACAAACTTGAGAGTAACCCTAAGAAAAGATGATTAAAGGTCCAAGAGCCTCAAGACAGTAGTCACATCATTTTGCATCTTTCTTCTTATAATCTATGACAGTTACAATACATAAACAAATCCCCATTAATAACATGGTAAGAAGATAATACTTTCAAACTTTAAGTTAAATTCCACTTAAAGAAACAAAAATGTCATAGCAGCTGATGGTATAAGTACAGAACAAAAAAAATTTATTCTATTTTGAAAAAATGCGTACATGAAATCTGAGTCAAAGTGTTTTAGAAATATTTTCATAGATGCAATAACTTAGGCATAATTAGCCTTTTATTTAGACTCAAAAAATGAGTAAATTCCCCCATGCTTATTGTATACTTCCATAACGGGTACTCAATTTCCCATCAGATGTCTACAGTTCTTAGATATTATTAGATAACACAAGAATCCTTCCTCAAGAATGAACAGACACAGGCTGGAACCGTCTGGAATATGAGGTTCAGTAGTTCGGGCATTTACCTTGCATGCAGCTGACCCGGATTCAAGTCCCAACATCCTACATGGTTCCCTGAGCACCATCAGGAGTGATTCCTGAATGCAGAGCCAGGAATAATAAGCCCTGAGCAACACCAGGTGTAACCCCCTCCTCCCCCAAAAAAAGAATGAATAGACTCCTGGGACCAGAGTAATAGTACAGCAGGTAAGGCACTTGCCTTGCACCTGACTACCCAGGTTCAATCCCCGGAGCCCTGCTGGAGTGATCCCTGAGAGCAGAGCCAGGTAAGCCCTGACCACAGCAGGGCTGTGACCCTCATTCTTTTTTTTGCTTTGTATGACCCCAAAACAAAACAAAGAATGAGTAGATTCTTAGCAGATATTTCTAAGCAAACTTTTCTAAACTTTAAGTTTTAAATAGAAACCATTTGCATGAGCTGTTTTGTTGTTTCTTTAAACTTCTGAACACTTTGAAAATGAAAAAAAAATGTAAAAGTCTATTGACTTTTAAGCACTAAGAAAAACCCAGTCACTTCATTCTTCTGTAAGACATCCTTTATCACAGTATATATTACTGATAGTTTTATTTCTCCATCAATATGTAACTTGCCAATCTTTCCTTCTAGAATCTTCTACTATTGCTGCTCCTACTAACATTTCTGGCTAACCTACCGGTGCACATAAAGCAAACTATGCACTAACATACTAAGCAATCATACATAGATACATTTTTTTTGTCTGACAACTCTCTGACTCTCAATGTTCTCATTCAACAGAGAGAAAAACTGAGGCACACATGGAGCTTAAGTAAGAAATAGTGTCACAAGCTTCCGGGGCTGAAAATAGCAGCATGAACGGAAGGCAGGTGGCTGAGTCCAGAACCTCTGGTCCCCCTTTGCAAGTGTGTGGCTGCAGTGAAGGGACTTGTGCTTTCAGTGTGTTTAGGAACATATTAAGCAGGCTATAAGGTGAAGTCGCATGAGGCAGCGGTCTAACCTGGGCATATACTTGCTAGTTTTACGCCATGAAAAGCCGGTCACAGCTCGGGGATGAGCCAAGTAAACAAAGGAGAACTGGGTGGCCGCCTGTCGCTTTTTCACTTCATGATGATCCTGAGCTATGATTGAAGACTTCCAACCAGTCATAGGATACCACACTTTCAAAAGACAGTCGTCCTGCAAAGGCACAGAGGGCAACACAAATTCAATGTATACATGCACAATTATTTCAGTGTTTCGAAAAAGGTTTAGAAGTCACATATTTAAAAATATAGACGTGACCAATATAAAGCAATTATGGGGTGGGAGAAAGCTCCAAAGGCCCAAGCACAGGACTTGCAAGAGGAAGTCCCAAGTTTCATTCTAGTACCATATGGTTCCCCCTGAGTACTGCTGGGTCAGTTGCTGGAGCAAACCCCAAGCAATTAGCCTGGGATAGTGCCTGAATACTACAGTGTGTTCCTCTTCTCCTCCTCCACCCACCAAAAAAAAATGGCTAGAGATATGCTGACCCTGGCTTGATCCCCAGCATCAAATATGGTTCCCCAAGTACTGCCAGGAGACACTCCTGAGCACAGAGACAAGAGGAGCTCCTCTGCACCGTTGGGTATGACACAGACCCCACTCCCCAAAAAAGAATAGCATAAAATATTGTCACCATAATTCATTTTATATATATATATATATATATATATATATATGGGTTGTAGGATAGTATAGCAGGGAGGGCATACCCCTTGCATGTGGCTGACCTGGGTTCGATTCCACCATCCCATTTAGTCCCCTGAGCATCACAAGGAGTAATGCCTCAGTGCAGAGCCAGGAATAACCCCTGAGCATTGCCGGTGTGACTCAAAAACAAAACAACAACAAAGCCATAATTCATGATATAACAACTAAACTGGCTTAAGAAATATGAGTCCATGAGCCTGAGCAAGAGCCAGAAGGAAGCCCTGAGCACCACCAGATATGCCACTCCTCCACCCCAGAAAGAAAAGAAAGAAAAAGAAAAAAGAAATAAGTCCATCAAGAACCAGGAATGTAACTCACAGATAGAGCATATGCTTCATATGCATGAGGTCATGCACGCAATTTCTGGTACCTCCACTCACGAAACTAAAATATGCTCTCATAAAAATATCTATGTACTTGTATTTATACTTCTGTGTGTTTTATGAAAGTATCAGAAAGTCTGGCAGATCGCATATTGTATATAAAAACCAGATTTTTACCCCAATTTTTAACTGTAGGTAAAGCTAATTAGTAGGACATTTTATTTTCTCTGCCATTTTTTAAAAAGCACATACTGTTTTAATAACAGGCATTTCCATGAAAGGGGCAAGGGGGTGGGGGTTGGGGGACATCTGGTAAACCAGTTCTTTAAAATCCAAAACACTAAATCTCGGAAGAGAGCAGCACTCTGAAAAGCAAAAGCACGTGTGGAAACATTCTCTATCCTCTGCCTTCCCTTCCTGCCAAAATCATCCTCCAGAAAAATTCTCATCCTTGCCCTTAGGAAAGCCCAGTTTTGTACTCTAAAACATCTTTCTTGTGAGGCTGGTAGAATGGGTAGGGTTCTTGCCTTGCACCCGGCAAGACCCGGATTTAATCCCTAGTATCCCGTGTGATCCCCCGAGGCCCACCACGAGTGATCCCCTGAGCAGAGTTAGGAGAAAACCCTGAACAAACACCAAATCAAAAGTAAATAAAAGTTAAAACACTCGTTTAGCCCAAGAAAAATTTAATTTACCACACTTATTTATTTTTAAGTGCTCAATGAACTTCCTAATACATTGACTCCTGAAGGTAACAGGATTTAAATCCCTCAACACCTTCTAGTGATGGATCCCACAGTTACCATCTGCTTCTTTGAGTCAGACAAAAACTGGCTTTATTAACAGAAACAAGGCAGATGGAAGAAGGCGGGGGGAACGCCAACACAACGAAGCTAATTTCTGTTCTTTTTTACCAAAAAGACCTTAATTAGATGTGGTATCTTCTAAAAACACATGGAGATAAGCTTTTTTCATTTTGTGACGTTGTATTAACCTGCAAAGGAGCCCTGCCAGGAAGGCACTGTTATAGTTTCCACAAAAATTATAAAACAGTTCTTAGCACTGAATATAAAGAAATTAGAGAATTAGAACTAATACAATAAAAAAAATGTTGTCGATTGTGATGACTTACTATAGTGAAAACTCAAAGAAGCTATTTAGCATTTTGGAGTATACAAATAGTACCAACTCTCAGGAGCGCAAAATCTAGCTGTCCCATTTAAAAGGATGTGCTTTTAGTTATTTTATTCTTGTTTGAAACACAAAGGAACCTTTCCATACGTTAGAAGGTTCAGATACTACAAAAATATTCAATGAATATTTATCATCTTACATGGATCATTTATAGTTTTTTCAGTACGAACTGTGACCTTATCAAAAAAGAAAAACATTTCATAAATAGTGGCACGGTTCACCCATCAGGTATGTAAAGAGAGATGATCAGAAACATTATTAACATATAGAGAAAATGTATTCTTTGTTTTGTATGTAATCTTGTAGCTCATGTGTCTCTTGAAGGGAGAAGCGGACAGTCTGTAATTTCTATCAATGGACCACTCTTCAATCCAAATACATGTGCTCAATATATCTCATAAGAACCAATTATGTTATTACATTTTTTTTGCTTTTTGGGTCACACCTAGCGATGCACAGGGGTTACTACTGGCTCTGCACTCAGGAGTTACTCCTGGCGGTGCTCAGGGGACCATATGGGATGCTGGGAATCGAACCTGGGTAGGAAGCGTGCAAGGCAAACACCTACCCTCTGTGCTATCTCGCCAGCCCCAGGAACCAATTATTTTTTTACATTTGATCATGATCTGGGGCTAGAGCAATTGTACAGCAGGTAGGGAGTCAGTACAGCAGGTAGGGAGTTTATTTTGCATGCATCCAAACCAAGTTCGATCCCTGTTATCCCATATGGTCCTCCAAGCACACTAGGAGTGATTCCTAAGCACACCGCCAGGAGTAATCCCTGAGTACTGCCAAGAGTGACTCTCCAAAAACAGACTTGATCATGACCTGAACTAGATTGATTATGGAGTCAAATATCATTGAGTAAACTCAATAGCCTTCAGATTACATCTGACTTACAATCAGAATCGTTCTGCAGTGAACCGGTGGATAATAACACTAGTGATGTGTTATTAGCCCACGGCAACTACAGAATGATAGCCCTAGGACACAGAAAAAGAGTGTGGTGGCTTAGAACAGTAGCAGTGGCCTCAACCATTAAAGAATGCCTGTCGAGTGTTGGGAGGATCCTCCCAGGATGGGAGAAGCATGCTGAAAGTAGACTATAGACCAAACATGATTGTCACCCATTGCCTCTTCTGCAAACCACAACACCCAATAAGAGAGAGAGAGAACAAAAGGGAATGCCCTGCCACATGGGGGCAAAATGGGGGGGGGGGGGTGGAATGGGGGAGATGGGGCGTGGGAGGGATACTGGGATCCATGGTGGTGGGAAATGGACACTGGTGGAGGAATGGGTATTTGATCATTGTATAATTGAAACCCAAGCACAAAAATTTGTAAGTCTACAACTGTACCTCATGATGTCTCACTAATAAAAATTAAAAAAAAAAAAGAATGCCTGTCAAAGACTATACTTTCAGGGATCATTCCCACAGTATGCTACTAGAAGTTTCTCTCATAGAGGACCTGAAACCACGCGGAAGAGTTAGAGCATCCTCTACTGAGCATGAAGGTGGTTCTAGGTATAGCTCCTGCAACTGCCTTTTACTACTGGTAATCATTCTTCTCTTCCTTTGGAAGAGGAAGAGGGAGATGATGCCATCTGAGTGGTTCTGGTAAGCTACCTTGATTATAAATGCCAATCTGTGCACCTACATGCAGGACAGGTATGGTTCACAGGTGTAAAAAGGCAGAAGAATGCTGAGTTAGAGCACCTGCCTTGCAAGTACCAGTTCAAATCCCCACTGCCCTGCAGGCCAACAAACAAAGACACTAGCAGTTCTGTGCTTTGGGCAGTGACTGACCAGGCCCTAAAGATCTCTGCTTTTTTGTGTGAGCTCTTAAGACAGCTAGGATCCTAGGATTCCACGTTTACTGTAAATATGCACAAATGGACTCTTCCTTTCTACGCATACATCCACAGGGTTTCACTGTATGCATATGTCCCAGTTAACTACTTCCTCCTCCCTGAATTCTCTTTTCCCCCTGACTTCTTAAACATCACAGTGTCCTGGTTTACCTTCTCTCTTAATGATCTCACAACATCCTTTGAAGGCGTCTCTCTCTTTTCTATTTCCACCTCTGTTCTTTAGTTGTAAGCCTCATTCTCTTCTGCCACACATTTTGCCTCCCTGGCTTCACTAAGGCCCTTAGCTTAACACACCATCTTTTGGCAACTCCAAACTTCGATCTCTCTGGGAAACTTCCCACCAGATTGTCCTACCTGGTACATTAACTTGCATATACCTCAAACTCTCATCTGGCCTCTACCCTCCATTTTTCTGCAAGCCCTGCCAACTCCTAGCCCAGAGTCTCGGTACTTGGGGTTCCTTGGCCAAAATTACTCCTTCCTCCAAACTTCGCCACTGCCTCCTTCCTATTATCCAGCTCTCAGTTAAAACTGATTTCCCTAGAAGACACAAGTCTTCTTCACAGACCACCCACACAAAGAGACATCAACATTGCCACATCATCCCATCTTAATTTCCTAGGTGGCACTTATTAGTACATAGTATTTTGTCTTGGTTCACTAGAATTTAAGTACCCTGAGACCAGGACTCTTTATTACCAAATACCTAGCAGGGTTCTGGGAAGATACTCCAAAGAGCAAGAGCACAGACCCAGAGTTTGACCCACGTGTCTTTCTGAGCACTGACTGGAGCAAACCCCAGGAGGACAAATGGTGGCATTCAAAAATATATATTTTATATATGCATACACACATATGCATTTATGCATTTGCTAAACATCTCATGCTAGTTTGCTGATTTCAAGTAAAATCCCAAATTATCCCCCCCCACAAAAAAATACACTACAGAGAAACAAAATTAATATTTGGAAGGGGGTGTTTGCAGATTTCTCATGATGACTACACCAATCAGAGGTCCTCATGCCTTGTAAGAAAGGTTGCTAAAATTTTAAATTCATTTTACTAGTCTTATGATAAAAAGTACACCCGACCTTACTGGTGGGTGTGACCCCCCCACAAACAAAACATAAGTGTGTGTGTGTGTTTATGCAAGTGTGTGTATGTGTGTATGTGTGCGTATGTGTGTGTATGTGTGTACATGCATGCATGCGCGCTCAAAATTCAGTAAGGATCCCTTGGAGAATCCAGCCACCCTCTCCAAGAAAAGAACCACCCCCCACCCTCAGGAACATGAGGGGGCCACAGGCTTGGGGGGGGGGGAACAGCACAGGGAAAGGGAGAGCAAGCTGAATGCCTGCACCCCAAATTCCACTCTACTCTTTACAAAGCCTGATTGGGAGGCAACAGCTCGACTGGGCAAGAGACTCTGGGCCAGCAACTCTGCCAAGACACACCACAGAGGCCTCAGCGAGTGGCAGAGAGACACGAGTTCTGATTCCTCTAGAACAAGGAATAGCCAAGGGCAAATTCCACCACTTCAAGCCAAGTGCAGAACTGCTGCGGGCTGAGTGACATCCGCTTGGCAGGTCAGACAACACCAGCCTCTCCCCACCCCTCACTTGGCCAATAGCAGGCATCGGGAATGAAATCCTGGACCTAGAAAGTGGACCTAGAAAGATCTTCAGACCTTCAGGAGCAAAACTAGCACCAGCAAGCCCTCCCAGGCCTGCTGTACCCGCCTTCAGTCTGAACATCTGAATACTGAAACTTGAGGGGTTGTTTGGGGAGGGAGGGATTGGGGTGGTTTTGTGGGTTTTTTTTTTTTTTGCATTTTCCAGGAGACCATATGGGATGCCAGGGAGCTAACCTGGGTTGGTGGCATGCAAGACAAGCACCCTACCCACTGTACTATCTCTCTAGCCCAACACTTGAATATTTGGCCAGAGCCAAGGCAGGTCAAAATGATAACCTCAGAGCCCCATGTGATGAGCACACGGATGGTTGCCCAGGTCGGCTTGAGTCTGGTGTCAGTAATACAGTCTGCAGTGAACACAGGGGTGCATGTATCTTTTATATCTTACAGTGAATATGGGGGTCCATCTATCCTTTTGAGTCAGTGGATCTGTCATTTTTTATTCTTGGAATAGATACAAAAGGTAAATAAATTTCTGGATGATATGTAGTTCTATTTTCAATTCCTTGAGAATGCTCCAAGCTATTCCGATACAGGTTAAATCAGCTCACATTTAATAGTGAATGAAGACTCCCTTTTCAACATAGTTCCATCAGCCCTAGTTGTTTTCAGATTTTTGTTTGCTTTGTATTTTTAATTGAATTTTTTATTTGAATCACAGTGAGATATACAAAGTTGTTCATGATTGGGTTTCAGTTACACAATGTTCCAACACCCAGTGTACATTCACTTGTACACATTTCCCACAACCAATGTCCTCTATGGCAGGCACTTTTATTTTTCTCTGTCTTTTTCTATATTTCTGTGTGTGTGTGTGTCCTCTCTCTCTCTCTCTCTCTCTCTCTCTCTCTCTCTCTCTCTCTCTCTCTCTCTCTCTCTCCTTTTGGGCATTATGGTTTGCAATACATATACTGAAAGGTTATCAGGCATATCCCTTTACCACTTTCAACATTCAGTTCCTGTCCAAAATGATCATTTCCAACAATTACTTCATACTGGTCCCTTTATCCTAACTGCCCTCCCCCACCCCAGACACTCTTTTGGCAAGCTCCAACCACTGACCAGTCCTCCTGGCCCCTGTTTTCCCTGGCCTTGGATATTAGTCTCATACTATTTTTTTATATCCCACAAATGAATGCAATCATTCTAATCTGTCCCTCTCCTTCTGACTCATTTCACTCAACCTGATTCTCTCCATGCCCATCCATATTCTGGCTACGTGACTAGTTCCGGCTACTGTGACTAGTGTTTTTCCAGCTTTTTTTAATACAGACTATTCTCCCTAGCTTTATAAGCAACACTATTTACAAGAGCTAAGATCTGGATTCAACCCATGAAAAATAAGTAGCTAGGAAATTATGGAATATGTGAGTATACATTTGAGTCATGAAAAGACAATGAGTTATAAGAGAAAAAAATAAAATCTTGCACTTTACTCGCCAAAGGCAACAGAACTGAAGCTAGCTGGGGGGGGGGGGGGGAGGGGGGGGAAAATGGATGAAAGGAAGGGACCCTTGGGGTCTTCAGAGAGGAAAGTGATCACTCTGGTGGTGGGTGAGTTATTCAAATATGTATGCACGAAACCATTATTAACAACAGTGTAAGTCAAAGCACAGCAATATTTTTTGGTGGGGAGGGTAGGTGTTGGGGGGGGGGGTCACACCTAGCAGTGCACTCCTGGCTCTGGGCTCTGTGATCACTCCTGGCAGGGCTCAGGGGACCATATGAGGTACCAGGGATTGAACCCCGGTTGGCAGCATGCAAGGTAAGTGCCCTCCACACTGTACTCTTGATCTGAACCTGCTCCAAGTTTTTTTTTTTAATCTTGCATTTTGCTGTAATGTGGATAGAACTGTGTGAGGCCAAAGTAAACCAGAGGAGAAAGATAAATATCAGATGATCTCACTCATCTGTGGTAAACAGAATAAGAGCCAGGGGATAGATGTGGCCAATGGAAATAAATGCTTAAACTCTTGTCAATAGCATTGAGTTTACCAAGTAGGAGGTAGCAGGAGCGAGGGGAGAGAACATGAAGAGACAGGAACCAGGAACGGAGGAAGGCAGGGACACTGACATTGGGGTGGCACAGCGACTTTGAACACCTAAAGCATACACGCTAACACTATTATAAACAGTTACTTTTATTATAGTTATGTCTAACTATTAGAAACTATGTTATATCTATTATAGTTGTGAATAACTATAAACAAACAGTATTATAAACTATGTTACCTCAATTAAAAGAACAAAGTAAGGGAGACATGGTGATACAAACCAATTGAAAGAGGGCAGGCAAAAACTCTTAAAGAAATCCGAAAGTGTTCTATGCCACGGAAGTACACTGGAAAAAAGAGTTGACGGTGGGAGCAAGAAGCAGCTATGTTACATCCCGTCCATCGATTAGGTAAGAGCCAACCACAAGCTTCAGTAACGAACGAGCTGTGAACTTGCTGCTGTGTGGGCACAGCAGGAAATGAGGCAAACCTACAGCCTACAGCAACCTTATTTTCAAGGTGCTGTAAATCAGGCAGAGAAATGCAGTCAAAGCTGGGAGCGAAGGTCAAGAAAAGACTTTTGTTATTGCGGCTTTATGGGCCACCTGACAGCATGTCTAACGCTGTTAGGCTGGATTTGTCAGTCTGGAGTGCCGTGATAAGAGGCCAGAGAGACTGGATGACTTAGAGAAATGTATTTCCTTGAGGCAGGTAGGTAGTTCAACGGGTGCTATAGCACCTGCCTCAAAAACACAGAGTCCCGCCCTCCTTCACTGTTGGTGGGAATGCCGACTGGTTCAGCCCTTTCGGAAAACAGTATGGACAATTCTCAAAAAATTAGAAATTGAGCTCCCATTTGACCCAGCAATACCACTCCTGGGAATTTATCCCAGAGAGGCAAAAAAGTATAGTCGAAGTGACATCTGCACTTGTTTGTTCATTGCAGCACTCTTTACAATAGCCAGATGCTGGAAAAAACCTGAGTGCCTGATAACAGACGACTGGTTAAAGAAACTTTGGTACATCTACACAATGGAGTACTATGTAGCTGTTAG